TTCCTGCAACATGAGAAGGGAGGGAGGGACTCTCAGCAGGGATGCAGTCTGGGACACGTAGTTGCAAACCTAGCGACTTTGTTGTTAGATTTAATGACTTTTCAGACCCCCTAACGACTTTTTTTTAGAAAGAAAGTGACTTTTATCGACTTCTTCTGGAGTTTAGAGACTCTGACATGAAGCAGGCTTTCCTTACTGAGGAGTTAGCAACGCTGCTAAGGGTGCAGAGCCACACATGCGCTCCGAGCTCTGCATGGGAGACTGAAGCTGACAGAGCTGCAGCAGTTAGCAGGTTTCACCCTCAGAGACCACCAGGGGTTCATGTTGAGGCATTTTAATTTTTATTTTTTTTTGTGCCATAGACACTGTCAGCACAATCTGCAGTTACACTAACAAAAATGCTGCAAAAAACAAAGAATTATGGAAAAATTACACATGGACTGACATAGAGGAGGATCTACACAAGTTTTTTACATCATGTTTTACATCATGCATCATTTACATCATGTTTTTTTGTAGTGGCATAAATAAAAAGTGACATTTGTGAGACTATACAGTGTTTTGTAAATAATTTTACAAAGAACGCCTGGGCCATTGCCTGCATTTTGATGTAAATAGAGGTAAATCACTATGTTCTTTGTTAAAAATTTGCATATGTTTTGAAGTTTACAATTTTTATTTGAAGTTTAAGTTTTAAAAACAGTTCATCACACATATTTGTGGTTTAATTTCACATTAATTTCCATATTGTATAAATGACTGGAAAAAACTTGAGCCCCTGCCCCTGTATAATCATGTGCACGTCCCTGTTCTAGCTCCAAGGTGAATCTTCACTGCTCATGTTCTCCTCAGAAATAGTCACCTCACTCCCCTCAGGTTACTGTACACATGCACCAACTATCTGCTTCAGGTTTGAAATGGAGCTTCATGGTTGTCTTTTGGAGAAATGAACAGTCAAGTTGTGTTTGAAATTTGATTTTTTTCAGGGGCAAAAGGAAGCCTCTGCATTCTTGTCAAATATGTAAACAGCATGTTTTTGCAGGTGCTAAAAAACAGACTCTGAGTGTGTGTGTGTGTTGTGTGTGTGTGTGTGTGTGTGTGTGTGTGTGTGTGTGTGTGTGTGTGTGTGTGTGTGTGTATGTTGGCGTGTGTGTATATGTGTGTGTATCCTGCAGTACTCTGTACTCCTGCAGTGGCCAAAAAGACTTTTAAGAATGTGGATTTTTGGGTCATCTTTGGCGCCCCCTAGAACTGCAGTACTCTGTACTCCTGCAGTGGCCAAAATGACTTTTAAGAATGTGGATTTTTGGGTCATCTTTGGCGCCCCCTAGAACGTAAACCGTGGGGTGCAGCGTCATGATTTTTACAACTTTGAATGGGCATGGGGTGTAGATTGCCCTGAGCAAATTTGGTATCGGTGGGACGAAAGCCTTAGGAGGAGATAGCCACATTCCAATGTGTGCGAATCGGCAAAAAATGCAAAATAGCCCTTTAACCGTACATTATACAGATACGCGCTCTTTGACTTTTTCGTAGATCTAATTGAGATACACATGATTGTCAATTTTTGTGTCAATATGACAAAGCGTTCAGGCGTGACACTCAACAATGTGTATTTTTATTTAAGGGGACAAGAAAAAATTGACTTTTTTCTCCTACCATGGGGGGGCGCTCTTTTGGGGAGTAAAAATTCCTTCACAAATGTGTTGATGGCTGGACATTGCATCATCCTAGAAAACTTGGAGGCCAGTGAGGACAAAAATAAAAAGTTATAAAACATTTAAGAATGTGGATTTTTGGGTTATTTTTGGCGCCCCCTAGAACCTAAACCATGGGGTGCAGCATCATGATTTGAATAACTTTTAATGGCCATGGGGTGTAGATTGGCCTGAGCAAATGTGGTGCCGGTGGAACGAAAGCCTTCGGAGGAGTTAGCGAAATTCCAATGTGTGCGTATCGGCAAAAAATGCGGAATAACCCTTTAACTGTACATTTGACAGATACGCGCGCGTGGACTTTTTTGTAGATCTTATTGAGTTACATGTGTGTGTCAATTTTTGTGTCATTTTGACAAAGCGTATAGGCGTGACACTCAACAATGTGTATTTTCACCTTAGGGGACAAGAAATAATGGACTTTTTTCTCCTGCCATGGGGGGGCGCTCTTTTGGGGAGTAAAAATTCCTTCACAAATGTGTTGATGGCTGGACATTGCATCATCCTAGAAAACTTGGAGGCCAGTGAGGACAAAAATAAAAAGTTATAAGACTTTTAAATATGTGGATTTTAGTGTTATCTTTGGCGCCCCCTAGAACCTAAACCTTGGGGTGCAGCGTCATGATTTTGATAACTTTTAATGGCCACGGGGTGTAGATTGGCCTGAGCAAATGTGGTGCCGGTGGAACGAAAGCCTTCGGAGGAGTTAGCGAAATTCCAATGTGTGCGGATCGGCAAAAAATGCGAAATAACCCTTTAACCGTAATTTTGACAGATACGGCCGCACTGACTTTTTTGTAGATCTTATTGAGATACATATGTGTGTCAATTTTTGTGTCAATATGACAAAGCGTACAGGCGTGACAGTCAATAGTGTGAATTTCCACCTTAGGGGGCGCTATGGAGCCATTTTGCATTTTATTGTTTGGGCGACTTCAGAATATCGAATTTTTCACCAGGCCCGGTCGTCCTGCCAAATTTCATGAGTTTTCGCCAGTGGGAAGTGGGCCATTTTCCAGTTCAAAGGGGAGGAAAAAGAAGAAAGAAAGAAAGAAAGAAAGAAACAAAGAAAAACCACTTGGGGAATAATAGGGCCTACGCCCGGCTGCTCTGCAGCTGGCTCGGGCCCTAAAAAGAAACAAAGAAAAACCACTTGGGGAATAATAGGGCTCTCGCAGCTGCTTAGCAGCTACGCTCGGGCCTTAACTAGGGCCCCGGTGGGGCACTGTCGGGCCCGAGCCGTGTCGCGCCGCCCCCAGTGCGACCGCCTCCCCCTCCCGATCGCATCACACTCAAGGTCCAAAGATGGTGTGCGCACTTGTCTGTGGTCATTTCCCATTATAATGAATGGGAGGCGCAGTTTCTACCAAAACACTCGCTGCAGACAAACTTCATGTCCTATATGAAAAAAGGCTGGACCATGAGTGAGGGCACAAACACAGCTAGGATATATCCAAATGGCAGGTTGCTCCTCCTTACGGTGTTGCCTGGAGAGCGATGCGATTGAGCCATTGAGCGATGGGCAGGAAAAACTTGACTTTTTCTCCTGCCATGGGGGGGGGGGGGAATTTGTGGATTCTTTTAAGAATGTGGATTTTTGGGTCATCTTTGGCGCCCCCTAGAACGTAAACCGTGGGGTGCAGCATCATGATTTTTACAACTTTGAATGGCCATGGGGTGTAGATTGGCCTCAGCAAATTTGGTGTCAGTGAGACGAAAGCCTTAGGAGGAGTTAGCCACATTCCAATGTGTGCGAATCGGCAAAAAATGCAATATAGCCCTTTAACCGTACATTTTACAGATACGCGCGCATTGACTTTTTCGTAGATCTTATTGAGATACACGTGATTGTCAAATTTTGTGTCAATGTGACAAAACGTACAGGTGTCACACTCAACAATGTGAATTTTCACCTTAGGGGACAAGAAAAAATGGACTTTTTTCTCCTGCCATGGGGGGGCGCTCTTTTGGGGAGTAAAAATTCCTTCACAAATGTGTTGATGGCTGGACATTGCATCATCCTAGAAAACTTGGAGGCCAGTGAGGACAAAAATAACTAGGGCCCCGTTGGGGCACTGGCGGGCCCGAGCCGTGTCGCGCCGCCCCCAGCGCGACCGCCTACCCCTCCCGATGGCGTCACACTCAAGGTCCAAAGATGGTGTGCGCACTTGTCTGTGGTCATTTACCATTATAATGAATGGGAGGCGCAGTTTCTACCAAAACGCTCGCTGCAGAAAAAACTCCATGTCCTTTTTGAAAAAAGTCTGGACCATGAGTGAGGGCACAAACACAGCTAGTATATATCCAAATGGCAAGGTGCTCCTCCTTTCGGTTTTGCCGAGAGAGCTATGCGTTTGAGCCATTGAGCGATGGGCAGGAAAAACTTGACTTTTTCTCCTGCCATGGGGGGGCGCTCTTTTGGGGAGAAAAAATTCCTTCACAAATGTGTTGATGACTGAACATTGCATCATCCTAGAAAACTTGGAGGCCAGTGAGGACAAAAATAAAGTTATAAGACTTTTAAAAATGTGGATATTTGGGTCCTCTTTGGCGCCCCCTAGAACGTAAACCGTGGGGTGCAGCGTCATGATTTTTACAACTTTGAATGGCCATGGGGTGTAGATTGGCCTCAGCAAATTTGGTGTCAGTGGAACGAAAGCCTTAGGAGGAGTTAGCCACATTCCAATGTGTGCGAATCGGTAAAAAATGCGATATAGCCCTTTAACCGTACATTTTACAGATACGTGCACATTGACTTTTTCGTAGATCTTATTGAGATACACGTGATTGTCAAATTTTGTGTCAATATGCCAAAGCGTACAGGCGTGACACTCAACAATGTGAATTTTCGCCTTAGGGGACAAGAAAAAAATGGACTTTTTTCCCCTGCCATGGGGGGGCGCTATTTGGCGAGTAAAAATTCCTTCACAAATGTGTTAATTGCTGGACATTGCATCATCCTAGAGAACTTGGAGGCCAGTGAGGACAAAAATAAAAAGTTATAAGACTTTTAAGAATGTGGATTTTTGGGTTATCTTTGGCGCCCCCTAGAACCTAAACCGTGGGTTGCAGCGTCATGATTTGTACAACTTTTAATGGCCATGGGGTGTAGATTGGCCTGAGCAAATTTGGTGCCGGTGGAACAAAAGCCTTCGGAGGATTTAGCGAAATTCCAATGTGTGCGGATCGGCAAAAAATGCGAAATAACCCTTTAACCGTACATTTGACAGATACGCCCACACTGACTTTTTTGTAGATCGTATTGAGATACATGTGTGTGTCAATTTTTGTGTCAATATGACAAAGCGTACAGGCGTGACAGTCAATAGTGTGAATTTCCACCTTAGGGGGCGCTATGGAGCCATTTTGCATTTTATTGTTTGGGCGACTTCAGAATATCGAATTTTTCACCAGGCCCGGTCATCCTGCCAAATTTCATGAGTTTTCGCCAGTGGGAAGTGGGCCATTTTCCCCTTCAAAGGGGAGGAAAAATAAGAAGAAAGAAAGAAAGAAAGAAAGAAAGAAAGAAAGAAAGAAGAAAGAAAAACTCATCAGGAATAATAGGGCTCTACGCCCAGCTGCTCTGCAGCTGGCTCGGGCCCTAAAAAGTTATAAGACTTTGAAATATGTGGATTTTAGGGTTATCTTTGGCGCCCCCTAGAACCTAAACCGTGGGGTGCAGCGTCATGATTTGAATAACTTTTAATGGCCATGGGGTGTAGATTGGCCTGAGCAAATGTGGTGCCGGTGGAACGAAAGCCTTCGGAGGAGTTAGCGAAATTCCAATGTGTGCGGATCGGCAAAAAATGCGAAATAAACCTTTAACCGTACATTTGACAGATACGCGCGCATTGACTTTTTCGTAGATCTTATTGAGATACATGTGTGTGTCAATTTTTGTGTCATTTTGCCAAAGCGTACAGGGGTGACACTCAACAATGTGTATTTTCACCTTAGGGGACAAGAAAAAATGGACTTTTTTCTCCTGCCATGGGGGGGCGCTCTTTTGGGGAGTAAAAATTCCTTCACAAATGTGTTGATGGCTGGACATTGCATCATCCTAGAAAACTTGGAGGCCAGTGAGGGCAAAAATAAAAAGTTATAAGACTTTGAAATATGTGGATTTTAGGGTTATCTTTGGCGCCCCCTAGAACCTAAACCGTGGGGTGCAGCGTCATGATTTGAATAACTTTTAATGGCCATGGGGTGTAGATTGGCCTGAGCAAATGTGGTGCCGGTGGAACGAAAGCCTTAGGAGGAGTTAGCGAAATTCCAATGTGTGCGGATCGGCAAAAAATGCGGAATAACCCTTTAACCGTACATTTTACAGATACGTGCCCATTGACTTTTTCGTAGATCTTATTGAGATACATGTGTGTGTCAATTTTTGTGTCATTTTGACAAAGCGTACAGGCGTGACAGTCAATAGTGTGAATTTTCACCTTAGGGGGCGCTATGGAGCCATTTCGCATTTTCTTGTTTGGGCGACTTCGGAATATCAAATTTTTCACCAGGCCCGGTCGTCCTGCCAAATTTCATGAGTTTTCGCCTGTGGGAAGTGGGCCATTTTCCAGTTCAAAGAAGAGGAAAAAGAAACTAGGGCCCCGGTGGGGCACTGTCGGGCCCGAGCCGCGTCGCGCCGCCCCCAGCGCGACCGCCTCCCCCTCCCGATCGCGTCACACTCAAGGTCCAAAGATGGTGTGCGCACTTGTCTGTGGTCATTTACCATTATAATGAATGGGAGGCGCAGTTTCTACCAAAACGCTCGCTGCAGACAAACTACATGTCCTATTTGAAAAAAGTCTGGACCATGAGTGAGGGCACAAACACAGCTAGGATATATCCAAATGGCAAGTTGCTCCTCCTTACGGTGTTGCTGGGAGAGCGATGCGATTGAGCCATTGACCGATGGGCAGGGTTAACTTGACTTTTTCTCCTGGGGGCGGGGGGGGGGGGGGGGCGATGTGGATTCTTTTAAGAATGTGGATATTTGGGTCATCTTTGGCGCCCCCTAGAACGTAAACCGTGGGGAGCAGCGTCATGATTTCTACAACTTTGAATGGCCATGGGATGTAGATCGGCTTGAGCAAATTTGGTGTTGGTGGGACGAAAGCCTTAGGAGGAGTTAGCCACATTCCAATGTGTGCGAATCGGCAAAAAATGCGAAATAGCCCTTTAACCGTACATTTTACAGATACGTGCCCATTGACTTTTTCGTAGATCTTATTGAGATACACGTGTGTGTCAAATTTTGTTTCATTTTGACAAAGCGTATAGGCGTGACAGTCAACAATGTGTTTTTTCACCTTAGGGGACAAGAAAAAATGGACTCTTTTCTCCTGCCATGGGGGGGCGCTCTTTTGGGGAGTAAAAATTCCTTCACAAATGTGTTGATGGCTGGACATTGCATCATCCTAGAAACCTTGGAGGCCAGTGAGGACAAAAATAAAAAGTTATAAGACTTTTAAGAATGTGGATTTTTGGGTTATCTTTGGCGCCGCCTAGAACCTAAACTGTGGGGTGCAGCGTCATGATTTGTACAACTTTTAATGGCCATGGGGTGTAGATTGCCCTGAGCAAATTTGGTGCCGGTGGAACGAAAGCCTTTGGAGGAGTTAGCGAAATTCCAATGTGTGCGGATCGGCAAATAAAGCGAAATAGCCCTTTAACCGTACATTTGACAGATACGCCCGCACTGACTTTTTCGTAGATCTTATTGAGATACACATGTGTGTCAAATTTTGTGTCATTTTGACAAAGCGTACAGGCATCAGGTGAGTTTTCACCATAGGGGGCGCTATGGAGCCATTTTTCATTTTTTTGTTTGGACGACTTCAGAATATCAAATTTTTCACCAGGCCCGGTCGTCCTGCCAAATTTCCTGAGTTTTCGCCAGTGGGAAGTGGGCCATTTTCCAGTTTAAAGCGGAGGAAAAATAACGAAAGAAGAATCCATCAGGAACAAGAGGGCTCTCGCAGCTGCTTAGCAGCTACGCTCGGGCCCTAAAAAGAAACAAAGAAAAACCTCTACAGGAATAATAGGGCCTCGCAGCTGCTTAGCAGCTACGCTCGGGCCCTAAAAAGAAACTAGGGCCCCGTTGGGGCACTGGCGGGCCCGAGCCGTGTCGCGCCACCCCCAGCGCGACCGCCTACCCCTCCCGATCGCGTCACACTCAAGGTCCAAAGATGGTGTGCGCACTTGTCTGTGGTCATTTACCATTATAATGAATGGGAGGCGCAGTTTCTACCAAAACGCTCGCTGCAGACAAACTCCATGTCCTTTTTGAAAAAAGTCTGGACCATGAGTGAGGGCACAAACACAGCTAGTATATATCCAAATGGCAAGTTGCTCCTCCTTTCGGTTTTGCCGAGAGAGCGATGCGTTTGAGCCATTGAGCGATGGGCAGGAAAAACTTGACTTTTTCTCCTGCCATGGGGGGGCGCTCTTTTGGCGAGTAAAAATTCCTTCACAAATGTGTTGATGGCTGGACATTGCATCATCCTAGAGAACTTGGAGGCCAGTGAGGACAAAAATAAAAAGTTATAAGACTTTTAAGACTGTGGATTTTTGGGTTATCTTTGGCGCCCCCTAGAACGTAAACCGTGGGGTGCAGCGTCATGATTTGTACAACTTTTAATGGCCATGGGGTGTAGATTGGCCTGAGCAAATGTGGTGCCGTTGGAACGAAAGCCTTCGGAGGAGTTAGCGAAATTCCAATGTGTGCGGATCGGCAAAAAATGCGAAATAACCCTTTAACCGTACATTTGACAGATACGCCCGCACTGACTTTTTTGTAGATCTTATTGAGATACATGTGTGTGTCAAATTTTGTGTCATTTTGACAAAGCGTAAAGGCGTGACAGTCAACAATGTGTATTTTCGCCTTAGGAGACAAGAAAAAATGGACTTTTTTCTCCTGCCATGGGGGGCGCTCTTTTGGCGAGTAAAAATTCCTTCACAAATGTGTTGATGGCTGGACATTGCATCATCCTAGAGAACTTGGAGGCCAGTGAGGACAAAATTAGAAAGTTATAAGACTTTTAAGACTGTGGATATTTGGGTTATCTTTGGCGCCCCCTAGAACGTAAACCGTGGGGTGCAGCATCATGATTTGTACAACTTTTAATGGCCATGGGGTGTAGATTGGCCTGAGCAAATGTGGTGCCGGTGGAACGAAAGCCTTCGGAGGAGTTAGCCAAATTCCAATGTGTGCGGATCGGCAAAAAATGCGAAATAACCCTTTAACCGTACATTTGACAGATACGCCCGCACTGACTTTTTTGTAGATCTTATTGAGATACATGTGTATGTCAATTTTTGTGTCAATATGACAAAGCGTAAAGGCGTGACAGTCAATAGTGTGAATTTTCGCCTTAGGAGACAAGAAAAAATGGACTTTTTTCTCCTGCCATGGGGGGCGCTCTTTTGGCGAGTAAAAATTCCTTCACAAATGTGTTGATGGCTGGACATTGCATCATCCTAGAGAACTTGGAGGCCAGTGAGGACAAAAATAAAAAGTTATAAGACTTTTAAGACTGTGGATTTTTGGGTTATCTTTGGCGCCCCCTAGAACGTAAACCGTGGGGTGCAGCGTCATGATTTGTACAACTTTTAATGGCCATGGGGTGTAGATTGGCCTGAGCAAATGTGGTGCCGGTGGAACGAAAGCCTTCGGAGGAGTTAGCGAAATTCCAATGTGTGCGGATCGGCAAAAAAAGCGAAATAGCCCTTTAACCGTACATTTGACAGATACGCCCGCACTGACTTTTTCGTAGATCTTATTGAGATACATGTGTGTGTCAAATTTTGTGTCATTTTGACAAAGCGTACAGGCATCAGGTGAGTTTTCACCATAGGGGGCGCTATGGAGCCATTTTTCATTTTTTTGTTTGGACGACTTCAGAATATCAAATTTTTCACCAGGCCCGGTCGTCCTGCCAAATTTCCTGAGTTTTCGCCAGTGGGAAGTGGGCCATTTTCCAGTTTAAAGCGGAGGAAAAATAACGAAAGAAGAATCCATCAGGAACAAGAGGGCTCTCGCAGCTGCTTAGCAGCTACGCTCGGGCCCTAAAAAGAAACAAAGAAAAACCTCTACAGGAATAATAGGGCCTCGCAGCTGCTTAGCAGCTACGCTCGGGCCCTAAAAGAAACTAGGGCCCCGTTGGGGCACTGGCGGGCCCGAGCCGTGTCGCGCCACCCCCAGCGCGACCGCCTACCCCTCCCGATCGCGTCACACTCAAGGTCCAAAGATGGTGTGCGCACTTGTCTGTGGTCATTTACCATTATAATGAATGGGAGGCGCAGTTTCTACCAAAACGCTCGCTGCAGACAAACTCCATGTCCTTTTTGAAAAAAGTCTGGACCATGAGTGAGGGCACAAACACAGCTAGTATATATCCAAATGGCAAGTTGCTCCTCCTTTCGGTTTTGCCGAGAGAGCGATGCGTTTGAGCCATTGAGCGATGGGCAGGAAAAACTTGACTTTTTCTCCTGCCATGGGGGGGCGCTCTTTTGGCGAGTAAAAATTCCTTCACAAATGTGTTGATGGCTGGACATTGCATCATCCTAGAGAACTTGGAGGCCAGTGAGGACAAAAATAAAAAGTTATAAGACTTTTAAGACTGTGGATTTTTGGGTTATCTTTGGCGCCCCCTAGAACGTAAACCGTGGGGTGCAGCATCATGATTTGTACAACTTTTAATGGCCATGGGGTGTAGATTGGCCTGAGCAAATGTGGTGCCGTTGGAACGAAAGCCTTCGGAGGAGTTAGCGAAATTCCAATGTGAGCGGATCGGCAAAAAATGCGAAGTAACCCTTTAACCGTACATTTGACAGATACGCCCGCACTGACTTTTTTGTAGATCTTATTGAGATACATGTGTGTGTCAAATTTTGTGTCATTTTGACAAAGCGTAAAGGCGTGACAGTCAACAATGTGTATTTTCGCCTTAGGAGACAAGAAAAAATGGACTTTTTTCTCCTGCCATGGGGGGCGCTCTTTTGGCGAGTAAAAATTCCTTCACAAATGTGTTGATGGCTGGACATTGCATCATCCTAGAGAACTTGGAGGCCAGTGAGGACAAAAATAAAAAGTTATAAGACTTTTAAGACTGTGGATATTTGGGTTATCTTTGGCGCCCCCTAGAACGTAAACCGTGGGGTGCAGCGGCATGATTTTTACAACTTTTAATGGCCATGGGGTGTAGATTGGCCTGAGCAAATTTGGTGTCAGTGGGACGAAAGCCTTAGGAGGAGTTAGCCACATTCCAATGTGTGCGAATCGGCAAAAAATGCAAAATAGCCCTTTAGCCGTACATTTTACAGATACGTGCGCATTGACTTTTTTGTAGATCTTATTGAGATACACGTGATTATTAAATTTTGTGTCAATATGACAAAGCATACAGGCGTGACACTCGACAATGTGTATTTTCACCTTAGGAGACAAGAAAAAATGGACCTTTTTCTCCTGCCATTGGGGGGCGCTCTTTTGGGGAGTAAAAATTCCTTCACAAATGTGTTGATGGCTGGACATTGCATCATCCTAGAAAACTTGGAGGCCAGTGAGGACAAAAGTAAAAAGTTATAAGACTTTTAAGAATGTGGATTTTTGGGTTATCTTTGGCGCCCCCTAGAACGTAAACCGTGGGGTGCAGCGTCATGATTTGTACAACTTTTAATGGCCATGGGGGGTAGATTGGCCTGCGCAAATGTGGTGCCGGTCGAACGAAAGCCTTCGGAGGAGTTAGCGAAATTCCAATGTGTGCAGATCTGCAAAAAATGCAAAATAACCCATTAACCGTACATTTGACAGATACGCCCGCACTGACTTTTTTGTAGATCTTATTGAGATACATGTGTGTGTCAATTTTTGTGTCAATATGACAAAGCGTAAAGGCGTGACAGTCAATAGTGTGAATTTTCACCTTAGGGGGCGCTATGGAGCCATTTTGCAATTTATTGTTTGGGCGACTTCAGAATATCGAATTTTTCACCAGGCCCGGTCGTCCTGCCAAATTTCATGAGTTTTCGCCAGTGGGAAGTGGGCCATTTTCCAGTTTAAAGCGGAGGAAAAATAATAACGAAAGAAGGAAACATGCAGGAACTAGGGCCCCGTTGGGGCACTGGCGGGCCCGAGCCGTGTCGCGCCGCCCCCAACACGACCGCCTCTCCCTACCGATCGCGTCACACTCAAGGTCCAAAGATGGTGTGCGCACTTGTCTGTGGTCATTTACAATTATAATGAATGGGAGGCGCAGTTTCTACCAAAACGCTCGCCGCAGACAAACTACATGTCCTATTTGAAAAGGACTGGACCATGAGTGAGGGCACAAACACAGCTAGGATATATCCAAATGGCAAGTTGCTCCTCCTTTCGGTTTTGCCGAGAGAGCGATGTGTTTGAGTCATTGAGCGATGGGCAGGAAAAACTTGACTTTTTCTCCTGCCATGGGGGGCGCTCTTTTAGGGAGTAAAAATTCCTTCACAAATGTGTTGATGGCTAGACATTGCATCATCCTAGAAAACTTGGAGGCCAGTGAGGACAAAAATAAAAAGTTATAAGACTTTTAAGAATGTGGATTTTTGGGTTATCTTTGGCGCCGCCTAGAACCTAAACTGTGGGGTGCAGCGTCATGATTTGTACAACTTTTAATGGCCATGGGGTGTAGATTGCCCTGAGCAAATTTGGTGCCGGTGGAACGAAAGCCTTTGGAGGAGTTAGCGAAATTCCAATGTGTGCGGATCGGCAAATAAAGCGAAATAGCCCTTTAACCGTACATTTGACAGATACGCCCGCACTGACTTTTTCGTAGATCTTATTGAGATACACATGTGTGTCAAATTTTGTGTCATTTTGACAAAGCGTACAGGCATCAGGTGAGTTTTCACCATAGGGGGCGCTATGGAGCCATTTTTCATTTTTTTGTTTGGACGACTTCAGAATATCAAATTTTTCACCAGGCCCGGTCGTCCTGCCAAATTTCCTGAGTTTTCGCCAGTGGGAAGTGGGCCATTTTCCAGTTTAAAGCGGAGGAAAAATAACGAAAGAAGAATCCATCAGGAACAAGAGGGCTCTCGCAGCTGCTTAGCAGCTACGCTCGGGCCCTAAAAAGAAACAAAGAAAAACCTCTACAGGAATAATAGGGCCTCGCAGCTGCTTAGCAGCTACGCTCGGGCCCTAAAAAGAAACTAGGGCCCCGTTGGGGCACTGGCGGGCCCGAGCCGCGTCGCGCCGCCCCCAGCGCGACCGCCTCCCCCTCCCGATCGCGTCACACTCAAGGTCCAAAGATGGTGTGCGCACTTGTCTGTGGTCATTTACCATTATAATGAATGGGAGGCGCAGTTTCTACCAAAACGCTCGCTGCAGACAAACTACATGTCCTATTTGAAAAAAGTCTGGACCATGAGTGAGGGCACAAACACAGCTAGGATATATCCAAATGGCAAGTTGCTCCTCCTTTCGGTTTTGCCGAGAGAGCGATGTGTTTGAGTCATTGAGCGATGGGCAGGAAAAACTTGACTTTTTCTCCTGCCATGGGGGGGCGCTCTTTTAGGGAGTAAAAATTCCTTCACAAATGTGTTGATGGCTAGACATTGCATCATCCTAGAAAACTTGGAGGCCAGTGAGGACAAAAATAAAAAGTTATAAGACTTTTAAGAATGTGGATTTTTGGGTTATCTTTGGCGCCGCCTAGAACCTAAACTGTGGGGTGCAGCGTCATGATTTGTACAACTTTTAATGGCCATGGGGTGTAGATTGCCCTGAGCAAATTTGGTGCCGGTGGAACGAAAGCCTTTGGAGGAGTTAGCGAAATTCCAATGTGTGCGGATCGGCAAATAAAGCGAAATAGCCCTTTAACCGTACATTTGACAGATACGCCCGCACTGACTTTTTCGTAGATCTTATTGAGATACACATGTGTGTCAAATTTTGTGTCATTTTGACAAAGCGTACAGGCATCAGGTGAGTTTTCACCATAGGGGGCGCTATGGAGCCATTTTTCATTTTTTTGTTTGGACGACTTCAGAATATCAAATTTTTCACCAGGCCCGGTCGTCCTGCCAAATTTCCTGAGTTTTCGCCAGTGGGAAGTGGGCCATTTTCCAGTTTAAAGCGGAGGAAAAATAACGAAAGAAGAATCCATCAGGAACAAGAGGGCTCTCGCAGCTGCTTAGCAGCTACGCTCGGGCCCTAAAAAGAAACAAAGAAAAACCTCTACAGGAATAATAGGGCCTCGCAGCTGCTTAGCAGCTACGCTCGGGCCCTAAAAAGAAACTAGGGCCCCGTTGGGGCACTGGCGGGCCCGAGCCGTGTCGCGCCACCCCCAGCGCGACCGCCTACCCCTCCCGATCGCGTCACACTCAAGGTCCAAAGATGGTGTGCGCACTTGTCTGTGGTCATTTACCATTATAATGAATGGGAGGCGCAGTTTCTACCAAAACGCTCGCTGCAGACAAACTCCATGTCCTTTTTGAAAAAAGTCTGGACCATGAGTGAGGGCACAAACACAGCTAGTATATATCCAAATGGCAAGTTGCTCCTCCTTTCGGTTTTGCCGAGAGAGCGATGCGTTTGAGCCATTGAGCGATGGGCAGGAAAAACTTGACTTTTTCTCCTGCCATGGGGGGGGCGCTCTTTTGGCGAGTAAAAATTCCTTCACAAATGTGTTGATGGCTGGACATTGCATCATCCTAGAGAACTTGGAGGCCAGTGAGGACAAAAATAAAAAGTTATAAGACTTTTAAGACTGTGGATTTTTGGGTTATCTTTGGCGCCCCCTAGAACGTAAACCGTGGGGTGCAGCGTCATGATTTGTACAACTTTTAATGGCCATGGGGTGTAGATTGGCCTGAGCAAATGTGGTGCCGTTGGAACGAAAGCCTTCGGAGGAGTTAGCGAAATTCCAATGTGTGCGGATCGGCAAAAAATGCGAAATAACCCTTTAACCGTACATTTGACAGATACGCCCGCACTGACTTTTTTGTAGATCTTATTGAGATACATGTGTGTGTCAAATTTTGTGTCATTTTGACAAAGCGTAAAGGCGTGACAGTCAACAATGTGTATTTTCGCCTTAGGAGACAAGAAAAAATGGACTTTTTTCTCCTGCCATGGGGGGGCGCTCTTTTGGCGAGTAAAAATTCCTTCACAAATGTGTTGATGGCTGGACATTGCATCATCCTAGAGAACTTGGAGGCCAGTGAGGACAAAATTAGAAAGTTATAAGACTTTTAAGACTGTGGATATTTGGGTTATCTTTGGCGCCCCCTAGAACGTAAACCGTGGGGTGCAGCATCATGATTTGTACAACTTTTAATGGCCATGGGGTGTAGATTGGCCTGAGCAAATGTGGTGCCGGTGGAACGAAAGCCTTCGGAGGAGTTAGCCAAATTCCAATGTGTGCGGATCGGCAAAAAATGCGAAATAACCCTTTAACCGTACATTTGACAGATACGCCCGCACTGACTTTTTTGTAGATCTTATTGAGATACATGTGTATGTCAATTTTTGTGTCAATATGACAAAGCGTAAAGGCGTGACAGTCAATAGTGTGAATTTTCGCCTTAGGAGACAAGAAAAAATGGACTTTTTTCTCCTGCCATGGGGGGGGCGCTCTTTTGGCGAGTAAAAATTCCTTCACAAATGTGTTGATGGCTGGACATTGCATCATCCTAGAGAACTTGGAGGCCAGTGAGGACAAAAATAAAAAGTTATAAGACTTTTAAGACTGTGGATTTTTGGGTTATCTTTGGCGCCCCCTAGAACGTAAACCGTGGGGTGCAGCGTCATGATTTGTACAACTTTTAATGGCCATGGGGTGTAGATTGGCCTGAGCAAATGTGGTGCCGGTGGAACGAAAGCCTTCGGAGGAGTTAGCCAAATTCCAATGTGTGCGGATCGGCAAAAAATGCGAAATAACCCTTTAACCGTACATTTGACAGATACGCCCGCACTGACTTTTTTGTAGATCTTATTGAGATACATGTGTATGTCAATTTTTGTGTCAATATGACAAAGCGTAAAGGCGTGACAGTCAATAGTGTGAATTTTCGCCTTAGGAGACAAGAAAAAATGGACTTTTTTCTCCTGCCATGGGGGGCGCTCTTTTGGCGAGTAAAAATTCCTTCACAAATGTGTTGATGGCTGGACATTGCATCATCCTAGAGAACTTGGAGGCCAGTGAGGACAAAAATAAAAAGTTATAAGACTTTTAAGACTGTGGATTTTTGGGTTATCTTTGGCGCCCCCTAGAACGTAAACCGTGGGGTGCAGCGTCATGATTTGTACAACTTTTAATGGCCATGGGGTGTAGATTGGCCTGAGCAAATGTGGTGCCGGTGGAACGAAAGCCTTCGGAGGAGTTAGCGAAATTCCAATGTGTGCGGATCGGCAAAAAAAGCGAAATAGCCCTTTAACCGTACATTTGACAGATACGCCCGCACTGACTTTTTCGTAGATCTTATTGAGATACATGTGTGTGTCAAATTTTGTGTCATTTTGACAAAGCGTACAGGCATCAGGTGAGTTTTCACCATAGGGGGCGCTATGGAGCCATTTTTCATTTTTTTGTTTGGACGACTTCAGAATATCAAATTTTTCACCAGGCCCGGTCGTCCTGCCAAATTTCCTGAGTTTTCGCCAGTGGGAAGTGGGCCATTTTCCAGTTTAAAGCGGAGGAAAAATAACGAAAGAAGAATCCATCAGGAACAAGAGGGCTCTCGCAGCTGCTTAGCAGCTACGCTCGGGCCCTAAAAAGAAACAAAGAAAAACCTCTACAGGAATAATAGGGCCTCGCAGCTGCTTAGCAGCTACGCTCGGGCCCTAAAAAGAAACTAGGGCCCCGTTGGGGCACTGGCGGGCCCGAGCCGTGTCGCGCCACCCCCAGCGCGACCGCCTACCCCTCCCGATCGCGTCACACTCAAGGTCCAAAGATGGTGTGCGCACTTGTCTGTGGTCATTTACCATTATAATGAATGGGAGGCGCAGTTTCTACCAAAACGCTCGCTGCAGACAAACTCCATGTCCTTTTTGAAAAAAGTCTGGACCATGAGTGAGGGCACAAACACAGCTAGTATATATCCAAATGGCAAGTTGCTCCTCCTTTCGGTTTTGCCGAGAGAGCGATGCGTTTGAGCCATTGAGCGATGGGCAGGAAAAACTTGACTTTTTCTCCTGCCATGGGGGGGGGCGCTCTTTTGGCGAGTAAAAATTCCTTCACAAATGTGTTGATGGCTGGACATTGCATCATCCTAGAGAACTTGGAGGCCAGTGAGGACAAAAATAAAAAGTTATAAGACTTTTAAGACTGTGGATTTTTGGGTTATCTTTGGCGCCCCCTAGAACGTAAACCGTGGGGTGCAGCATCATGATTTGTACAACTTTTAATGGCCATGGGGTGTAGATTGGCCTGAGCAAATGTGGTGCCGTTGGAACGAAAGCCTTCGGAGGAGTTAGCGAAATTCCAATGTGTGCGGATCGGCAAAAAATGCGAAATAACCCTTTAACCGTACATTTGACAGATACGCCCGCACTGACTTTTTTGTAGATCTTATTGAGATACATGTGTGTGTCAAATTTTGTGTCATTTTGACAAAGCGTAAAGGCGTGACAGTCAACAATGTGTATTTTCGCCTTAGGAGACAAGAAAAAATGGACTTTTTTCTCCTGCCATGGGGGGGCGCTCTTTTGGCGAGTAAAAATTCCTTCACAAATGTGTTGATGGCTGGACATTGCATCATCCTAGAGAACTTGGAGGCCAGTGAGGACAAAAATAAAAAGTTATAAGACTTTTAAGACTGTGGATATTTGGGTTATCTTTGGCGCCCCCTAGAACGTAAACCGTGGGGTGCAGCGGCATGATTTTTACAACTTTTAATGGCCATGGGGTGTAGATTGGCCTGAGCAAATTTGGTGTCAGTGGGACGAAAGCCTTAGGAGGAGTTAGCCACATTCCAATGTGTGCGAATCGGCAAAAAATGCAAAATAGCCCTTTAGCCGTACATTTTACAGATACGTGCGCATTGACTTTTTTGTAGATCTTATTGAGATACACGTGATTATTAAATTTTGTGTCAATATGACAAAGCATACAGGCGTGACACTCGACAATGTGTATTTTCACCTTAGGAGACAAGAAAAAATGGACCTTTTTCTCCTGCCATTGGGGGGCGCTCTTTTGGGGAGTAAAAATTCCTTCACAAATGTGTTGATGGCTGGACATTGCATCATCCTAGAAAACTTGGAGGCCAGTGAGGACAAAAGTAAAAAGTTATAAGACTTTTAAGAATGTGGATTTTTGGGTTATCTTTGGCGCCCCCTAGAACGTAAACCGTGGGGTGCAGCGTCATGATTTGTACAACTTTTAATGGCCATGGGGGGTAGATTGGCCTGCGCAAATGTGGTGCCGGTCGAACGAAAGCCTTCGGAGGAGTTAGCGAAATTCCAATGTGTGCAGATCTGCAAAAAATGCAAAATAACCCATTAACCGTACATTTGACAGATACGCCCGCACTGACTTTTTTGTAGATCTTATTGAGATACATGTGTGTGTCAATTTTTGTGTCAATATGACAAAGCGTAAAGGCGTGACAGTCAATAGTGTGAATTTTCACCTTAGGGGGCGCTATGGAGCCATTTTGCAATTTATTGTTTGGGCGACTTCAGAATATCGAATTTTTCACCAGGCCCGGTCGTCCTGCCAAATTTCATGAGTTTTCGCCAGTGGGAAGTGGGCCATTTTCCAGTTTAAAGCGGAGGAAAAATAATAACGAAAGAAGGAAACATGCAGGAACTAGGGCCCCGTTGGGGCACTGGCGGGCCCGAGCCGTGTCGCGCCGCCCCCAACACGACCGCCTCTCCCTACCGATCGCGTCACACTCAAGGTCCAAAGATGGTGTGCGCACTTGTCTGTGGTCATTTACAATTATAATGAATGGGAGGCGCAGTTTCTACCAAAACGCTCGCCGCAGACAAACTACATGTCCTATTTGAAAAGGACTGGACCATGAGTGAGGGCACAAACACAGCTAGGATATATCCAAATGGCAAGTTGCTCCTCCTTTCGGTTTTGCCGAGAGAGCGATGTGTTTGAGTCATTGAGCGATGGGCAGGAAAAACTTGACTTTTTCTCCTGCCATGGGGGGGCGCTCTTTTAGGGAGTAAAAATTCCTTCACAAATGTGTTGATGGCTAGACATTGCATCATCCTAGAAAACTTGGAGGCCAGTGAGGACAAAAATAAAAAGTTATAAGACTTTTAAGAATGTGGATTTTTGGGTTATCTTTGGCGCCGCCTAGAACCTAAACTGTGGGGTGCAGCGTCATGATTTGTACAACTTTTAATGGCCATGGGGTGTAGATTGCCCTGAGCAAATTTGGTGCCGGTGGAACGAAAGCCTTTGGAGGAGTTAGCGAAATTCCAATGTGTGCGGATCGGCAAATAAAGCGAAATAGCCCTTTAACCGTACATTTGACAGATACGCCCGCACTGACTTTTTCGTAGATCTTATTGAGATACACATGTGTGTCAAATTTTGTGTCATTTTGACAAAGCGTACAGGCATCAGGTGAGTTTTCACCATAGGGGGCGCTATGGAGCCATTTTTCATTTTTTTGTTTGGACGACTTCAGAATATCAAATTTTTCACCAGGCCCGGTCGTCCTGCCAAATTTCCTGAGTTTTCGCCAGTGGGAAGTGGGCCATTTTCCAGTTTAAAGCGGAGGAAAAATAACGAAAGAAGAATCCATCAGGAACAAGAGGGCTCTCGCAGCTGCTTAGCAGCTACGCTCGGGCCCTAAAAAGAAACAAAGAAAAACCTCTACAGGAATAATAGGGCCTCGCAGCTGCTTAGCAGCTACGCTCGGGCCCTAAAAAGAAACTAGGGCCCCGTTGGGGCACTGGCGGGCCCGAGCCGCGTCGCGCCGCCCCCAGCGCGACCGCCTCCCCCTCCCGATCGCGTCACACTCAAGGTCCAAAGATGGTGTGCGCACTTGTCTGTGGTCATTTACCATTATAATGAATGGGAGGCGCAGTTTCTACCAAAACGCTCGCTGCAGACAAACTACATGTCCTATTTGAAAAAAGTCTGGACCATGAGTGAGGGCACAAACACAGCTAGGATATATCCAAATGGCAAGTTGCTCCTCCTTTCGGTTTTGCCGAGAGAGCGATGTGTTTGAGTCATTGAGCGATGGGCAGGAAAAACTTGACTTTTTCTCCTGCCATGGGGGGGCGCTCTTTTAGGGAGTAAAAATTCCTTCACAAATGTGTTGATGGCTAGACATTGCATCATCCTAGAAAACTTGGAGGCCAGTGAGGACAAAAATAAAAAGTTATAAGACTTTTAAGAATGTGGATTTTTGGGTTATCTTTGGCGCCGCCTAGAACCTAAACTGTGGGGTGCAGCGTCATGATTTGTACAACTTTTAATGGCCATGGGGTGTAGATTGCCCTGAGCAAATTTGGTGCCGGTGGAACGAAAGCCTTTGGAGGAGTTAGCGAAATTCCAATGTGTGCGGATCGGCAAATAAAGCGAAATAGCCCTTTAACCGTACATTTGACAGATACGCCCGCACTGACTTTTTCGTAGATCTTATTGAGATACACATGTGTGTCAAATTTTGTGTCATTTTGACAAAGCGTACAGGCATCAGGTGAGTTTTCACCATAGGGGGCGCTATGGAGCCATTTTTCATTTTTTTGTTTGGACGACTTCAGAATATCAAATTTTTCACCAGGCCCGGTCGTCCTGCCAAATTTCCTGAGTTTTCGCCAGTGGGAAGTGGGCCATTTTCCAGTTTAAAGCGGAGGAAAAATAACGAAAGAAGAATCCATCAGGAACAAGAGGGCTCTCGCAGCTGCTTAGCAGCTACGCTCGGGCCCTAAAAAGAAACAAAGAAAAACCTCTACAGGAATAATAGGGCCTCGCAGCTGCTTAGCAGCTACGCTCGGGCCCTAAAAAGAAACTAGGGCCCCGTTGGGGCACTGGCGGGCCCGAGCCGTGTCGCGCCACCCCCAGCGCGACCGCCTACCCCTCCCGATCGCGTCACACTCAAGGTCCAAAGATGGTGTGCGCACTTGTCTGTGGTCATTTACCATTATAATGAATGGGAGGCGCAGTTTCTACCAAAACGCTCGCTGCAGACAAACTCCATGTCCTTTTTGAAAAAAGTCTGGACCATGAGTGAGGGCACAAACACAGCTAGTATATATCCAAATGGCAAGTTGCTCCTCCTTTCGGTTTTGCCGAGAGAGCGATGCGTTTGAGCCATTGAGCGATGGGCAGGAAAAACTTGACTTTTTCTCCTGCCATGGGGGGTGCGCTCTTTTGGCGAGTAAAAATTCCTTCACAAATGTGTTGATGGCTGGACATTGCATCATCCTAGAGAACTTGGAGGCCAGTGAGGACAAAAATAAAAAGTTATAAGACTTTTAAGACTGTGGATTTTTGGGTTATCTTTGGCGCCCCCTAGAACGTAAACCGTGGGGTGCAGCGTCATGATTTGTACAACTTTTAATGGCCATGGGGTGTAGATTGGCCTGAGCAAATGTGGTGCCGTTGGAACGAAAGCCTTCGGAGGAGTTAGCGAAATTCCAATGTGTGCGGATCGGCAAAAAATGCGAAATAACCCTTTAACCGTACATTTGACAGATACGCCCGCACTGACTTTTTTGTAGATCTTATTGAGATACATGTGTGTGTCAAATTTTGTGTCATTTTGACAAAGCGTAAAGGCGTGACAGTCAACAATGTGTATTTTCGCCTTAGGAGACAAGAAAAAATGGACTTTTTTCTCCTGCCATGGGGGGGCGCTCTTTTGGCGAGTAAAAATTCCTTCACAAATGTGTTGATGGCTGGACATTGCATCATCCTAGAGAACTTGGAGGCCAGTGAGGACAAAATTAAAAAGTTATAAGACTTTTAAGACTGTGGATATTTGGGTTATCTTTGGCGCCCCCTAGAACGTAAACCGTGGGGTGCAGCATCATGATTTGTACAACTTTTAATGGCCATGGGGTGTAGATTGGCCTGAGCAAATGTGGTGCCGGTGGAACGAAAGCCTTCGGAGGAGTTAGCCAAATTCCAATGTGTGCGGATCGGCAAAAAATGCGAAATAACCCTTTAACCGTACATTTGACAGATACGCCCGCACTGACTTTTTTGTAGATCTTATTGAGATACATGTGTATGTCAATTTTTGTGTCAATATGACAAAGCGTAAAGGCGTGACAGTCAATAGTGTGAATTTTCGCCTTAGGAGACAAGAAAAAATGGACTTTTTTCTCCTGCCATGGGGGGCGCTCTTTTGGCGAGTAAAAATTCCTTCACAAATGTGTTGATGGCTGGACATTGCATCATCCTAGAGAACTTGGAGGCCAGTGAGGACAAAAATAAAAAGTTATAAGACTTTTAAGACTGTGGATTTTTGGGTTATCTTTGGCGCCCCCTAGAACGTAAACCGTGGGGTGCAGCGTCATGATTTGTACAACTTTTAATGGCCATGGGGTGTAGATTGGCCTGAGCAAATGTGGTGCCGGTGGAACGAAAGCCTTCGGAGGAGTTAGCGAAATTCCAATGTGTGCGGATCGGCAAAAAAAGCGAAATAGCCCTTTAACCGTACATTTGACAGATACGCCCGCACTGACTTTTTCGTAGATCTTATTGAGATACATGTGTGTGTCAAATTTTGTGTCATTTTGACAAAGCGTACAGGCATCAGGTGAGTTTTCACCATAGGGGGCGCTATGGAGCCATTTTTCATTTTTTTGTTTGGACGACTTCAGAATATCAAATTTTTCACCAGGCCCGGTCGTCCTGCCAAATTTCCTGAGTTTTCGCCAGTGGGAAGTGGGCCATTTTCCAGTTTAAAGCGGAGGAAAAATAACGAAAGAAGAATCCATCAGGAACAAGAGGGCTCTCGCAGCTGCTTAGCAGCTACGCTCGGGCCCTAATAAGAAGACTAGGGCCCCGTTGGGGCACTGGCGGGCCCGAGCTGTGTCGCGCCGCCCCCAACACGACCGCCTCTCCCTCCCGATCGCGTCACACTCAAGGTCCAAAGATGGTGTTCGCACTTGTCTGTGGTCATTTACCATTATAATGAATGGGAGGCGCAGTTTCTACCAAAACGCTCGCTGCAGACAAACTACATGTCCTATTTGAAAAAAGTCTGGACCATGAGTGAGGGCACAAACACAGCTAGGATATATCCAAATGGCAGGTTGCTCCTCCTTACGGTGTTGCCTGGAGAGCGATGCGATTGAGCCATTGAGCGATGGGCAGGAAAAACTTGACTTTTTCTCCGGCCATGGGGGGGCGCTGTTTTGGGGAGTAAAAATTCCTTCACAAATGTGTTGATGGCTAGACATTGCATCATCCTAGAAAACTTGGAGGCCAGTGAGGACAAAAATAAAAAGTTCTAAGACTTTTAAGAATGTGGATTTTTGGGTCCTCTTTGGCGCCCCCTAGAACGTAAACCGTGGGGTGCAGCGTCATGATTTTTACAACTTTTAATGGCCATGGGGTGTAGATTGGCCTGAGCAAATTTGTTGTCAGTGGGACGAAATCCTTAGGAGGAGTAAGCCACATTCCAATGTGTGCGAATCGGCAAAAAATGCAAAATAGCCCTTTAGCCGTACAGTTTACAGATACGCGTGCATTGACTTTTTCGTAGATCTTATTGAGATACACGTGTGTGTCAAATTTTTTGTCAATATGACAAAGCGTACAGGCGTGAATCTCAACAATGTGTATTTTCACCTTAGGGGACAAGAAAAAATGGACTTTTTTCTCCTGCCATGGGGGGGCGCTCTTTTGGGGAGTAAAAATTCCTTCACAAATGTGTTGATGGCTGGACATTGCATCATCCTAGAAAACTTGGAGGGCAGTGAGGACAAAAAAAAAAAGTTATAAAACTTTTAAGAATGTGGATTTTAGGGTTATTTTTGGCGCCCCCTAGAACCTAAACCGTGGGGTGCAGCGTCATGATTTGTACAACTTTGAATGGCCATGGAGTGTAGATTGGCCTGAGCAAATGTGGTGCCGGTGGAACGAAAGCCTTCGGAGGAGTTAGCGAAATTCCAATGTGTGCGGATCGGCAAAAAATGCGCAATAACCCTTTAACCGTACATTTGACAGATACGCCCGCACTGACTTTTTTTTTAGATCTTATTGAGATACATGTGTGTGTCAATTTTTGTGTCAATATGACAAAGCGTACAGGCGTGACAGTCAATAGTGTGAATTTTCACCTTAGGGGGCGCTATGGAGCCATTTTGCATTTTATTGTTTGGGCGACTTCAGAATATCGAATTTTTCACCAGGCCCGGTCGTCCTGCCAAATTTCCTGAGTTTTCGCCAGTGGGAAGTGGGCCATTTTCCAGTTTAAAGCGGAGGAAAAATAATAATAATAACTAGGGCCCCGTTGGGGCACTGGCGGGCCCGAGCCGTGTCGCGCCACCCCCAGCGCGACCGCCTACCCCTCCCGATCGCGTCACACTCAAGGTCCAAAGATGGTGTGCGCACTTGTCTGTGGTCATTTACCATTATAATGAATGGGAGGCGCAGTTTCTACCAAAACGCTCGCTGCAGACAAACTCCATGTCCTTTTTGAAAAAAGTCTGGACCATGAGTGAGGGCACAAACACAGCTAGTATATATCCAAATGGCAAGTTGCTCCTCCTTTCGGTTTTGCCGAGAGAGCGATGCGTTTGAGCCATTGAGCGATGGGCAGGAAAAACTTGACTTTTTCTCCTGCCATGGGGGGCGCTCTTTTGGCGAGTAAAAATTCCTTCACAAATGTGTTGATGGCTGGACATTGCATCATCCTAGAGAACTTGGAGGCCAGTGAGGACAAAAATAAAAAGTTATAAGACTTTTAAGACTGTGGATTTTTGGGTTATCTTTGGCGCCCCCTAGAACGTAAACCGTGGGGTGCAGCGTCATGATTTGTACAACTTTTAATGGCCATGGGGTGTAGATTGGCCTGAGCAAATGTGGTGCCGTTGGAACGAAAGCCTTCGGAGGAGTTAGCGAAATTCCAATGTGTGCGGATCGGCAAAAAATGCGAAATAACCCTTTAACCGTACATTTGACAGATACGCCCGCACTGACTTTTTTGTAGATCTTATTGAGATACATGTGTGTGTCAAATTTTGTGTCATTTTGACAAAGCGTAAAGGCGTGACAGTCAACAATGTGTATTTTCGCCTTAGGAGACAAGAAAAAATGGACTTTTTTCTCCTGCCATGGGGGGCGCTCTTTTGGCGAGTAAAAATTCCTTCACAAATGTGTTGATGGCTGGACATTGCATCATCCTAGAGAACTTGGAGGCCAGTGAGGACAAAATTAGAAAGTTATAAGACTTTTAAGACTGTGGATATTTGGGTTATCTTTGGCGCCCCCTAGAACGTAAACCGTGGGGTGCAGCATCATGATTTGTACAACTTTTAATGGCCATGGGGTGTAGATTGGCCTGAGCAAATGTGGTGCCGGTGGAACGAAAGCCTTCGGAGGAGTTAGCCAAATTCCAATGTGTGCGGATCGGCAAAAAATGCGAAATAACCCTTTAACCGTACATTTGACAGATACGCCCGCACTGACTTTTTTGTAGATCTTATTGAGATACATGTGTATGTCAATTTTTGTGTCAATATGACAAAGCGTAAAGGCGTGACAGTCAATAGTGTGAATTTTCGCCTTAGGAGACAAGAAAAAATGGACTTTTTTCTCCTGCCATGGGGGGCGCTCTTTTGGCGAGTAAAAATTCCTTCACAAATGTGTTGATGGCTGGACATTGCATCATCCTAGAGAACTTGGAGGCCAGTGAGGACAAAAATAAAAAGTTATAAGACTTTTAAGACTGTGGATTTTTGGGTTATCTTTGGCGCCCCCTAGAACGTAAACCGTGGGGTGCAGCGTCATGATTTGTACAACTTTTAATGGCCATGGGGTGTAGATTGGCCTGAGCAAATGTGGTGCCGGTGGAACGAAAGCCTTCGGAGGAGTTAGCGAAATTCCAATGTGTGCGGATCGGCAAAAAAAGCGAAATAGCCCTTTAACCGTACATTTGACAGATACGCCCGCACTGACTTTTTCGTAGATCTTATTGAGATACATGTGTGTGTCAAATTTTGTGTCATTTTGACAAAGCGTACAGGCATCAGGTGAGTTTTCACCATAGGGGGCGCTATGGAGCCATTTTTCATTTTTTTGTTTGGACGACTTCAGAATATCAAATTTTTCACCAGGCCCGGTCGTCCTGCCAAATTTCCTGAGTTTTCGCCAGTGGGAAGTGGGCCATTTTCCAGTTTAAAGCGGAGGAAAAATAACGAAAGAAGAATCCATCAGGAACAAGAGGGCTCTCGCAGCTGCTTAGCAGCTACGCTCGGGCCCTAATAACAAACTAGGGCCCCGTTGGGGCACTGGCGGGCCCGAGCTGTGTCGCCCCCCCCCCCCAACGCGCTGCCTCCCCGTCCCATTCGCGTCCTCTGGCCATCGTCCTCTCTGGTAACGCCCATCACTGCAAAGACCCTTTTCCTTCATCGGCGTTTGCTGTTCTTCCTGCCAGTGCGTGTTGCTTTCACTTACACTTGCCACAGCCAGCCTTGTGAGTGCCTAGCCTATTGGATATCACTGTCACCTACACAGGACAGTCATTACCTTTCTATTAATACTTTGTTTTTTAATTTCACATTAATTTCCATATTGTATAAACGACTGGAAAAAACTTGAGCCCCTGCCCCCGTATAATCATGTGCACGTCCCTGTTCTCGCTCCAAGGTGAATCTTCACTGCTCATGTTCTCCTCAGAAGCAGTCACCTCACTCCCCTCAGGTTACTGTACACATGCACCAACTGCCTGCTTCAGGTTTGGATGGAGCTTCATGGTTGTCTTTTGGAGAAATGAGCAGTCAAGTTGTGTTAGAAATTTGATTTTTTTCAGGGGCAAAAGGAAGCCTCTGCATTGTTGTCAAATATGTAAATAGCATGTTTTTGCAGGTGCTAAAAAACAGACTCTGAGTGTGTGTGTGTGTGTGTGTGTGTGTGTGTGTGTGTGTGTGTGTGTCTGTGTGTGTGTGTGTCTGTGTGTGTGTATCCTGCAGTACTCTGTACTCCTGCAGTGGCCAAAACGACTTTTAAGAATGTGGATATTTGGGTCATCTTTGGCGCCCCCTAGAACGTAAACCATGGGGTGCAGCGGCATGATTTTTACAACTTTGAATGGCCATGGGGTGTAGATTGGCCTGAGCAAATTTGGTGTCAGTGGGACGAAAGCCTTAGGAGGAGTTAGCCACATTCCAATGTGTGCGAATCGGCAAAAAATGCAAAATAGCCCTTTAGCCGTACATTTTACAGATACGCGCCCATTGACTTTTTCGTAGATCTTATTGAGATACACGTGTGTGTCAAATTTTTTGTCAATACGACAAAGTGTACAGGCGTGACACTCAACAATGTGTATTTTCACCTTAGGGGACAAGAAAAAATGGACTTTTTATTCCTGCCATGGGGGGGCGCTCTTTTGGGGAGTAAAAATTCCTTCACAAATGTGTTGATGGCTGGACATTGCATCATCCTAGAAAACTTGGAGGCCAGTGAGGACAAAAAAAAAATTTATAAAACTTTTAAGAATGTGGATTTTTGGGTTATTTTTGGCGCCCCCTAGAACCTAAACCATGGGGTGCAGCATTATGATTTGTACAACTTTGAATGGCCATGGAGTGTAGATTGGCCTGAGCAAATGTGGTGCCGGTGGAACGAAAGCCTTCGGAGGAGTTAGCGAAATTCCAATGTGTGCGGATCTGCAAAAAATGCAAAATAACCCTTTAACCGTACATTTGACAGATACGCCCGCGCTGACTTTTTTGTAGATCTTATTGAGATACATGTGTGTGTCAATTTTTGTGTCAATATGACAAAGCGTACAGGCGTGACAGTCAATAGTGTGAATTTTCACCTTAGGGGGCGCTATGGAGCCATTTTGCATTTTCTTGTTTGGGCGACTTCAGAATATCGAATTTTTCACCAGGCCCGGTCGTCCTGCCAAATTTCATGAGTTTTCGCCAGTGGGAAGTGGGCCATTTTCCAGTTTAAAGCGGAGGAAAAATAATAACTAGGGCCCCGGTGGGGCACTGGCGGGCCCGAGCCGCGTCGCGCCGCCCCCAGCGCGACCGCCTCCCCCTCCCGATCGCGTCACACTCAAGGTCCAAAGATGGTGTGCGCACTTGTCTGTGGTCATTTACCATTATAATGAATGGGAGGCGCAGTTTCTACCAAAACGCTCGCTGCAGACAAACTACATGTCCTATTTGAAAAAAGTCTGGACCATGAGTGAGGGCACAAACACAGCTAGGATATATCCAAATGGCAAGTTGCTCCTCCTTACGGTGTTGCTGGGAGAGCGATGCGATTGAGCCATTGACCGATGGGCAGGGTTAACTTGACTTTTTCTCCTGGGGGCGGGGGGGGGGGGGGGGGGCGATGTGGATTCTTTTAAGAATGTGGATATTTGGGTCATCTTTGGCGCCCCCTAGAACGTAAACCGTGGGGAGCAGCGTCATGATTTCTACAACTTTGAATGGCCATGGGATGTAGATCGGCTTGAGCAAATTTGGTGTTGGTGGGACGAAAGCCTTAGGAGGAGTTAGCCACATTCCAATGTGTGCGAATCGGCAAAAAATGCGAAATAGCCCTTTAACCGTACATTTTACAGATACGTGCCCATTGACTTTTTCGTAGATCTTATTGAGATACACGTGTGTGTCAAATTTTGTGTCATTTTGACAAAGCGTATAGGCGTGACAGTCAACAATGTGTTTTTTCACCTTAGGGGACAAGAAAAAATGGACTCTTTTCTCCTGCCATGGGGGGGCGCTCTTTTTCGGGAGTAAAAATTCCTTTACAAATGTGTTGATGGCTGGACATTGCATCATCCTAGAAAACTTGGAGGCCAGTGAGGACAAAAATAAAAAGTTATAACACTTTTAAGAATATGGATATTTGGGTCATCTTTGGCGCCCCCTAGAACGTAAACCGTGGGGTGCAGCGGCATGATTTTTACAACTTTGAATGGGCATGGGGTGTAGATTGCCCTGAGCAAATTTAGTATCGGTGGGACGAAAGCCTTAGGAGGAGATAGCCACATTCCAATGTGTGCGAATCGGCAAAAAATGCAAAATAGCCCTTTAACCGTACATTTGACAGATACGTGCCTATTGACTTTTTTGTAGATCTTATTGAGATACACGTGATTGTCAAATTGTGTGTCAATATGACAAAGTGTATAGGCGTGACACTCAACAATGTGTATTTTTACCTTAGGAGACAAGAAAAAATGGACTTTTTTCTCCTGCCATGGGGGGGCGCTCTTTTGGGGAGTAAAAATTCCTTCACAAATGTGTTGATGGCTGGACATTGCATCATCCTAGAAACCTTGGAGGCCAGTGAGGACAAAAATAAAAAGTTATAAGACTTTTAAGAATGTGGATTTTTGGGTTATCTTTGGCGCCGCCTAGAACCTAAACTGTGGGGTGCAGCGTCATGATTTGTACAACTTTTAATGGCCATGGGGTGTAGATTGCCCTGAGCAAATTTGGTGCCGGTGGAACGAAAGCCTTTGGAGGAGTTAGCGAAATTCCAATGTGTGCGGATCGGCAAAAAAAGCGAAATAGCCCTTTAACCGTACATTTGACAGATACGCCCGCACTGACTTTTTCGTAGATCTTATTGAGATACACATGTGTGTCAAATTTTGTGTCATTTTGACAAAGCGTACAGGCATCAGGTGAGTTTTCACCATAGGGGGCGCTATGGAGCCATTTTTCATTTTTTTGTTTGGACGACTTCAGAATATCAAATTTTTCACCAGGCCCGGTCGTCCTGCCAAATTTCCTGAGTTTTCGCCAGTGGGAAGTGGGCCATTTTCCAGTTTAAAGCGGAGGAAAAATAACGAAAGAAGAATCCATCAGGAACAAGAGGGCTCTCGCAGCTGCTTAGCAGCTACGCTCGGGCCCTAACTAGGACCCCGTTGGGGCACTGGCGGGCCCGAGCCGTGTCGCGTCCCCCCCCCAACGTGCTGCCTCCCCGTCCCATTTGTGTCCTCTGGCCATCGTCCTCTCTGGTAACGCCCATCACTGCAAAGACCCTTTTCCTTCATCGGCGTTTGCTGTTCTTCCTGCCAGTGCGTGTTGCTTTCACTTACACTTGCCACAGCCAGCCTCGTGAGTGCCTAGCCTATTGGATATCACTGTCACCTACACAGGACAGTCATTACCTTTCTATTAATACTTTGTGTTTTAATTTCACATTAATTTCCATATTGTATAAACGACTGGAAAAAACTTGAGCCCCTGCCCCTGTATAATCATGTGCATGTCTCTGTTCTAGCTCCAAGGTGAATCTTCACTGCTCATGTTCTCCTCAGAAGCAGTCACCTCACTCCCCTCAGGTTACTGTACACATGCACCAACTGCCTGCTTCAGGTTTGGATGGAGCTTCATGGTTGTCTTTTGGAGAAATGAGCAGTCAAGTTGTGTTTGAAATTTGATTTTTTTCAGGGGCAAAAGGAGCCTCTGCATTCTTGTCAAATATGTAAATAGCATGTTTTTGCAGGTGCTAAAAACCAGACTCTGAGTGTGTGTGTGTGTGTGTCTGTGCGTGTGTGTGTGTCTGTGTGTGTGTGTGTGCGTTCAAGTCACATGACATATTTAACCGGATGTAGCTGCAAGACGGAGCCTCGTTGACTCTCTGTTTCAACTTATCTCAAAAGTGAGGACCTCAACCTATATACCAGTTTTTAAATTGTGTTGATAGGCCAAATAAAACCAGAGTTATGATAAATTATGTCCGCGATACTTTTTTTCTGCTTATTTTGATCACGTTCGGCGCTCGATCGCGCTGTATGAGACAGGAAAACATAGCATGCAGACATTAGCGACAGGTCTTACAGGCGGAAAAGGCTTGCCAAAAGAAAAAAAAAACACACCACAACATCTCTCCTATTGGTGGAAAACTTCACCACAACAACCAATCCAAAATTATATGGTGACTGATTGACAAAGGGCGGGCGCTTACGTTCTTCCTGCAACATGAGAAGGGAGGGAGGGACTCTCAGCAGGGATGCAGTCTGGGACACGTAGTTGCAAACCTAGCGACTTTGTTGTTAGATTCAATGACTTTTCAGACCCCCTAACGACTTTTTTTTAGAAAGAAAGGGACTTTTATCGACTTCTTCTGGAGTTTAGAGACTCTGACATGAAGCAGGCTTTCCTTACTGAGGAGTTAGCAACGCTGCTAAGGGTGCAGAGCCACACATGCACTCAGAGCTCTGCATGGGAGACTGAAGCTGACAGAGCTGCAGCAGTTAGCAGGTTTCACCCTCAGAGACCACCAGGGGTTCATGTTGAGGCATTTTAATTTTTTTTTTTTTTTGTGCCATAGACACTGTCAGCACAATCTGCAGTTACACTAACAAAAATGCTGCAAAAAATAAAGAATTATGGAAAAATTACACATGGACTGACATAGAGGAGGATCTACACAAGTTTTTTACATCATGTTTTACATCATGCATCATTTACATCATGTTTTTTTGTAGTGGCATAAATAAAAAGTGACATTTGTGAGACTATACAGTGTTTTGTAAATAATTTTACAAAGAACGCCTGGGCCATTGCCTGCATTTTGATGTAAATAGAGGTAAATTACTATGTTCTTTGTTAAAAATTTGCATATGTTTTGAAGTTTACAATTTTTATTTGAAGTTTAAGTTTTAAAAACAGTTCATCACACATATTTGTGGTTTAATTTCACATTAATTTCCATATTGTATAAATGACTGGAAAAAACTTGAGCCCCTGCCCCTGTATAATCATGTGCACGTCCCTGTTCTAGCTCCAAGGTGAATCTTCACTGCTCATGTTCTCCTCAGAAATAGTCACCTCACTCCCCTCAGGTTACTGTACACATGCACCAACTATCTGCTTCAGGTTTGAAATGGAGCTTCATGGTTGTCTTTTGGAGAAATGAACAGTCAAGTTGTGTTTGAAATTTGATTTTTTTCAGGGGCAAAAGGAAGCCTCTGCATTCTTGTCAAATATGTAAACAGCATGTTTTTGCAGGTGCTAAAAAACAGACTCTGAGTGTGTGTGTGTGTCTGTGTGTGTTGGCCTGTGTGTATATGTGTGTGTATCCTGCAGTACTCTGTACTCATGCAGTGGCCAAAAAGACTTTTAAGAATGTGGATTTTTGGGTCATCTTTGGCGCCCCCTAGAACTGCAGTACTCTGTACTCCTGCAGTGGCCAAAATGACTTTTAAGAATGTGGATTTTTGGGTCATCTTTGGCGCCCCCTAGAACGTAAACCGTGGGGTGCAGCGTCATGATTTTTACAACTTTGAATGGGCATGGGGTGTAGATTGCCCTGAGCAAATTTGGTATCGGTGGGACGAAAGCCTTAGGAGGAGATAGCCACATTCCAGTGTTTGCGAATCGGCAAAAAATGCAAAATAGCCCTTTAACCGTACATTATACAGATACGCGCTCTTTGACTTTTTCGTAGATCTAATTGAGATACACATGATTGTCAATTTTTGTGTCAATATGACAAAGCGTTCAGGCGTGACACTCAACAATGTGTATTTTTATGTAAGGGGACAAAAAAAATGGACTTTTTTCTCCTACCATGGGGGGGCGCTCTTTTGGGGAGTAAAAATTCCTTCACAAATGTGTTGATGGCTGGACATTGCATCATCCTAGAAAACTTGGAGGCCAGTGAGGACAAAAATAAAAAGTTATAAAACATTTAAGAATGTGGATTTTTGGGTTATTTTTGGCGCCCCCTAGAACCTAAACCATGGGGTGCAGCATCATGATTTGAATAACTTTTAATGGCCATGGGGTGTAGATTGGCCTGAGCAAATGTGGTGCCGGTGGAACGAAAGCCTTCGGAGGAGTTAGCGAAATTCCAATGTGTGCGGATCGGCAAAAAATGCGGAATAACCCTTTAACTGTACATTTGACAGATACACGCGCATGGACTTTTTTGTAGATCTTATTGAGTTACATGTGTGTGTCAATTTTTGTGTCATTTTGACAAAGCGTATAGGCGTGACACTCAACAATGTGTATTTTCACCTTAGGGGACAAGAAAAAATGGACTTTTTTCTCCTGCCATGGGGGGGCGCTCTTTTGGGGAGTAAAAATTCCTTCACAAATGTGTTGATGGCTGGACATTGCATCATCCTAGAAAACTTGGAGGCCAGTGAGGACAAAAATAAAAAGTTATAAGACTTTTAAATATGTGGATCTTAGGTTATCTTTGGCGCCCCCTAGAACCTAAACCGTGGGGTGCAGCGTCATGATTTGAATAACTTTTAATGGCCATGGGGTGTAGATTGGCCTGAGCAAATGTGGTGCCGGTGGAACGAAAGCCTTCGGAGGAGTTAGCGAAATTCCAATGTGTGCGGATCGGCAAAAAATGCGAAATAACCCTTTAACCGTACATTTGACAGATACGCCCGCACTGACTTTTTTGTAGATCTTATTGAGATACATGTGTGTGTCAATTTTTGTGTCATTTTGACAAAGCGTACAGGCGTGACAGTGAATAGTGTGAATTTTCACCTTAGGGGGCGCTATGGAGCCATTTTGCATTTTCTTGTTTGGGCGACTTCGGAATATCAAATTTTTCACCAGGCCCGGTCTTCCTGCCAAATTTCATGAGTTTTCGCCAGTGGGAAGTGGGCCATTTTCCAGTTCAAAGGGGAGGAAAAATAATAACTAGGGCCCCGTTGGGGCACTGGCGGGCCCGAGCCGTGTCGCGCTGCCCCCCCCAACGCGCTGCCTCCCCGTCCCATTCGCGTCCTCTGGCCATCGTCCTCTCTGGTAACGCCCATCACTGCAAAGACCCTTTCCTTCATCGGCGTTTGCTGTTCTTCCTGCCAGTGCGTGTTGCTTTCACTTACACTTGCCACAGCCAGCCTCGTGAGTGCCTAGCCTATTGGATATCACTGTCACCTACACAGGACAGTCATTACCTTTCTATTAATACTTTGTTTTTTAATTTCACATTAATTTCCATATTGTATAAATGACTGGAAAAAACTTGAGCCCCTGCCCCTGTATAATCATGTGCACGTCCCTGTTCTAGCTCCAAGGTGAATCTTCACTGCTCATGTTCTCCTCAGAAATAGTCACCTCACTCCCCTCAGGTTACTGTACACATGCACCAACTATCTGCTTCAGGTTTGGATGGAGCTTCATGGTTGTCTTTTGGAGAAATGAACAGTCAAGTTGTGTTTGAAATTTGATTTTTTTCAGGGGCAAAAGGAAGCCTCTGCATTCTTGTCAAATATGTAAACAGCATGTTTTTGCAGGTGCTAAAAAACAGACTCTGTGTGTGTGTGTGTGTGTGTGTGTGTGTGTGTGTGTGTGTATATGTGTGTGTATCCTGCAGTACTCTGTGTGTGTATTTAAGAATGTGTGTGTATCCTGCAGTACTCTGTACTCCTGCAGTGGCCAAAAGACTTTTAAGAATGTGGATTTTTGGGTCATCTTTGGCGCCCCCTAGAACTGCAGTACTCTGTACTCCTGCAGTGGCCAAAATGACTTTTAAGAATGTGGATTTTTGGGTCATCTTTGGCGCCCCTAGAACGTAAACCGTGGGTGCAGCGTCATGATTTTTACAACTTTGAATGGGCATGGGGTGTAGATTGCCCTGAGCAAATTTGGTATCAGTGGGACGAAAGCCTTAGGAGGAGATAGCCACATTCCAATGTGTGCGAATCGGCAAAAAATGCGAAATAGCCCTTTAACCGTACATTATACAGATACGCGCTCTTTGACTTTTTCGTAGATCTAATTGAGATACACATGATTGTCAATTTTTGTGTCAATATGACAAAGCGTTCAGGCGTGACACTCAACAATGTGTATTTTCATGTAAGGGGACAAGAAAAAATTGACTTTTTTCTCCTGCCATGGGGGGCGCTCTTTTGGGGAGTAAAAATTCCTTCACAAATGTGTTGATGGCTGGACATTGCATCATCCTAGAAAACTTGGAGGGCAGTGAGGACAAAAATAAAAAGTTATAAGACTTTTAAGAATGTGGATTTTTGGGTTATCTTTGGCGCCCCCTAGAACCTAAACCGTGGGGTGCAGCGTCATGATTTGTACAACTTTTAATGGCCATGGGGTGTAGACTGGCCTGAGCAAATGTGGTGCCGGTGGAACGAAAGCCTTCGGAGGAGTTAGCGAAATTCCAATGTGTGCGGATCGGCAAAAAATGCGAAATAACCCTTTAACTGTACATTTGACAGATACGCCCGCACTGACTTTTTTGTAGATCTTATTGAGATACATATGTGTGTCAATTTTTGTGTCAATATGACAAAACGTACAGACGTGACAGTCAATAGTGTGAATTTCCACCTTAGGGGGCGCTATGGAGCCATTTTGCATTTTATTGTTTGGGCGACTTCAGAATATCGAATTTTTCACCAGGCCCGGTCGTCCTGCCAAATTTCCTGAGTTTTCGCCAGTGGGAAGTGGGCCATTTTCCAGTTTAAAGCGGAGGAAAAATAATAACTAGGGCCCCGTTGGGGCACTGGCGGGCCCGAGCCGTGTCGCGCTGCCCCCCCCAACGCGCTGCCTCCCCGTCCCATTCGCGTCCTCTGGCCATCGTCCTCTCTGGTAACGCCCATCACTGCAAAGACCCTTTCCTTCATCGGCGTTTGCTGTTCTTCCTGCCAGTGCGTGTTGCTTTCACTTACACTTGCCACAGCCAGCCTCGTGAGTGCCTAGCCTATTGGATATCACTGTCATCTACACAGGACAGTCATAACCTTTCTATTAATACTTTGTTTTTAATTTCACATTAATTTCCATATTGTATAAATGACTGGAAAAAACTTGAGCCCCTGCCCCTGTATAAATCATGTGCACGTCCCTGTTCTAGCTCCAAGGTGAATCTTCACTGCTCATGTTCTCCTCAGAAATAGTCACCTCACTCCCCTCAGGTTACTGTACACATGCACCAACTATCTGCTTCAGGTTTGGATGGAGCTTCATGGTTGTCTTTTGGAGAAATGAACAGTCAAGTTGTGTTTGAAATTTGATTTTTTTCAGGGGCAAAAGGAAGCCTCTGCATTCTTGTCAAATATGTAAACAGCATGTTTTTGCAGGTGCTAAAAAACAGACTCTGAGTGTGTGTGTGTGTGTGTGTGTGTGTGTGTGTTGGCGTGTGTGTATATGTGTGTGTATCCTGCAGTACTCTGTACTCCTGCAGTGGCCAAAAGACTTTTAAGAATGTGGATTTTTGGGTCATCTTTGGCGCCCCCTAGAACTGCAGTACTCTGTACTCCTGCAGTGGCCAAAATGACTTTTAAGAATGTGGATTTTTGGGTCATCTTTGGCGCCCCCTAGAACGTAAACCGTGCGGTGCAGCGTCATGATTTTTACAACTTTGAATGGGCATGGGGTGTAGATTGCCCTGAGCAAATTTGGTATCAGTGGGACGAAAGCCTTAGGAGGAGATAGCCACATTCCAATGTGTGCGAATCGGCAAAAAATGCGAAATAGCCCTTTAACCGTACATTATACAGATACGCGCTCTTTGACTTTTTCGTAGATCTAATTGAGATACACATGATTGTCAATTTTTGTGTCAATATGACAAAGCGTTCAGGCGTGACACTCAACAATGTGTATTTTCATGTAAGGGGACAAGAAAAAATTGACTTTTTTCTCCTGCCATGGGGGGGCGCTCTTTTGGGGAGTAAAAATTCCTTCACAAATGTGTTGATGGCTGGACATTGCATCATCCTAGAAAACTTGGAGGGCAGTGAGGACAAAAATAAAAAGTTATAAGACTTTTAAGAATGTGGATTTTTGGGTTATCTTTGGCGCCCCCTAGAACCTAAACCGTGGGGTGCAGCGTCATGATTTGTACAACTTTTAATGGCCATGGGGTGTAGACTGGCCTGAGCAAATGTGGTGCCGGTGGAACGAAAGCCTTCGGAGGAGTTAGCGAAATTCCAATGTGTGCGGATCGGCAAAAAATGCGAAATAACCCTTTAACCGTACATTTGACAGATACGCCCGCACTGACTTTTTTGTAGATCTTATTGAGATACATATGTGTGTCAATTTTTGTGTCAATATGACAAAACGTACAGACGTGACAGTCAATAGTGTGAATTTCCACCTTAGGGGGCGCTATGGAGCCATTTTGCATTTTATTGTTTGGGCGACTTCAGAATATCGAATTTTTCACCAGGCCCGGTCGTCCTGCCAAATTTCATGAGTTTTCGCCAGTGGGAAGTGGGCCATTTTCCAGTTTAAAGCGGAGGAAAAATAATAATAATAATAACAAAAGAAGAATCCATCAGGAACAAGAGGGCTCTCGCAGCTGCTTAGCAGCTACGCTCGGGCCCTAATAATAATAACAAAAGAAGAATCCATCAGGAACAAGAGGGCTCTCGCAGCTGCTTAGCAGCTACGCTCGGGCCCTAACTAGGACCCCGTTGGGGCACTGGCGGGCCCGAGCTGTGTCGCGTCCCCCCCCCAACGCGCTGCCTCCCCGTCCCATTTGTGTCCTCTGGCCATCGCCCTCTTTGGTAACGCCCATCACTGCAAAGACCCTTTTCCTTCATCGGCGTTTGCTGTTCTTCCTGCCAGTGCGTGTTGCTTTCATTTACACTTGCCACAGCCAGCCTCGTGAGTGCCTAGCCTATTGGATATCACTGTCACCTACACAGGACAGTCATTACCTTTCTATTAATACTTTGTTTTTTAATTTCACATTAATTTCCAAATTGTATAAACGACTGGAAAAAACTTGAGCCCCTGCCCCTGTATAATCATGTGCACGTCTCTGTTCTAGCTCTAAGGTAAATCTTCACTGCTCATGTTCTCCTCAGAAGCAGTCACCTCACTCCCCTCAGGTTACTGTACACATGCACCAACTGCCTGCTTCAGGTTTGGATGGAGCTTCATGGTTGTCTTTTGGAGAAATGACCAGTCAAGTTGTGTTTGAAATTTGATTTTTTTCAGGGGCAAAAGGAGCCTCTGCATTCTTGTCAAATATGTAAATAGCATGTTTTTGCAGGTGCTACAAACCAGACTCTGAGTGTGTGTGTGTGCGTGTGTGTGTGTGTCTGTGTGTGTGTGTGTGTGTGTGTGTGCGTTCAAGTCACATGACATATTTAACCGGATGTAGCTGCAAGACGGAGCCTCGTTGACTCTCCGTTTCAATTTATCTCAAAAGTGAGGACCTCAACCTATATACCAGTTTTTAAATTGTGTTGATAGGCCAAATAAACAGAGTTATGATAAATTATGTCCGCGATACTTGTTTTCTGCTTATTTTGATCACGTTCGGCGCTCGATCGCGCTGTATGAGACAGGAAAACATAGCATGCAGACATTAGCGACAGGTCTTACAGGCGGAAAAGGCTTGCCAAAGGAAAAAAAATACACACCACAACATCTCTCCTATTGGTGGAAAACTTCACCACAACAACCAATCCAAAATTATATGGTGACTGATTGACAAGGGGCGGGAACTTACGTTCTTCCTGCAATATGAGAAGGGAGGGAGGGACTCTCAGCAGGGATGCAGTCTGGGACACGTAGTTGCAAACCTAGCGACTTTGTTGTTAGATTCAATGACTTTTCAGACCCCCTAACGACTTTTTTTTAGAAAGAAAGTGACTTTTATCGACTTCTTCTGGAGTTTAGAGACTCTGACATGAAGCAGGCTTTCCTTACTGAGGAGTTAGCAATGCTGCTAAGGGTGCAGAGCCACACATGCGCTCCGAGCTCTGCATGGGAGACTGAAGCTGACAGAGCTGCAGCAGTTAGCAGGTTTCACCCTCAGAGACCACCAGGGGTTCATGTTGAGGCATTTTCAGTTTTTTTTTTTTTTTTGTGCCATAGACACTGTCAGCACAATCTGCAGTTACACTAACAAAAATGCTGCAAAAAACAAAGAATTATGGAAAAATTACACATGGACTAACATAGAGGAGGATCTACACAAGTTTTTTACATCATGTTTTACATCATGCATCAATTACATCATGTTTTTTTGTAGTGGCATAAATAAAAAGTGACATTTGTGAGACTATACAGTGTTTTGTAAATAATTTTACAAAGAACACCTGGGCCATTGCCTGCATTTTGATGTCAATAGAGGTAAATTACTATGTTCTTTGTTAAAAATTTGCATATGTTTTGAAGTTTACAATTTTTATTTGAAGTTTAAGTTTTAAAAACAGTTCATCACACATATTTGTGGTTTAATTTCACATTAATTTCCATATTGTATAAATGACTGGAAAAAACTTGAGCCCCTGCCCCTGTATAATCATGTGCACGTCCCTGTTCTAGCTCCAAGGTGAATCTTCACTGCTCATGTTCTCCTCAGAAATAGTCACCTCACTCCCCTCAGGTTACTGTACACATGCACCAACTATCTGCTTCAGGTTTGAAATGGAGCTTCTTGGTTGTCTTTTGGAGAAATGAACAGTCAAGTTGTGTTTGAAAATTGATTTTTTTCAGGGGCAAAAGGAAGCCTCTGCATTCTTGTCAAATATGTAAACAGCATGTTTTTGCAGGTGCTAAAAACCAGACTCTGAGTGTGTGTGTGTGTGTGTGTGTGTGTGTGTGTGTGTGTGTGTGTGTGTGTGTGTGTGTGTATGTTGGCGTGTGTGTATATGTGTGTGTATCCTGCAGTACTCTGTACTCCTGCAGTGGCCAAAAAGACTTTTAAGAATGTGGATTTTTGGGTCATCTTTGGCGCCCCTAGAACTGCAGTACTCTGTACTCCTGCAGTGGCCAAAATGACTTTTAAGAATGTGGATTTTTGGGTCATCTTTGGCGCCCCCTAGAACGTAAACCGTGGGGTGCAGCGTCATGATTTTTACAACTTTGAATGGGCATGGGGTGTAGATTGCCCTGAGCAAATTTGGTATCGGTGGGACGAAAGCCTTAGGAGGAGATAGCCACATTCCAATGTGTGCGAATCGGCAAAAAATGCAAAATAGCCCTTTAACCGTACATTATACAGATACGCGCTCTTTGACTTTTTCGTAGATCTAATTGAGATACACATGATTGTCAATTTTTGTGTCAATATGACAAAGCGTTCAGGCGTGACACTCAACAATGTGTATTTTCATGTAAGGGGACAAGAAAAAATGGACTTTTTTCTCCTACCATGGGGGGAGCGCTCTTTTGGGGAGTAAAAATTCCTTCACAAATGTGTTGATGGCTGGACATTGCATCATCCTAGAAAACTTGGAGGCCAGTGAGGACAAAAATAAAAAGTTATAAGACTTTTAAATATGTGGATTTTAGGGTTATTTTTGGCGCCCCCTAGAACCTAAACCGTGGGGTGCAGCGTCATGATTTGAATAACTTTTAATGGCCATGGGGTGTAGATTGGCCTGAGCAAATGTGGTGCCGGTGGAACGAAAGCCTTCGGAGGAGTTAGCGAAATTCCAATGTGTGCGGATCGGCAAAAAATGCGGAATAACCCTTTAACCGTACATTTGACAGATACGCGCGCATTGACTTTTTTGTAGATCTTATTGAGTTACATGTGTGTGTCAATTTTTGTGTCATTTTGACAAAGCGTATAGGCGTGACACTCAACAATGTGTATTTTCACCTTAGGGGACAAGAAAAAATGGACTTTTTTCTCCTGCCATGGGGGGGCGCTCTTTTGGGGAGTAAAAATTCCTTCACAAATGTGTTGATGGCTGGACATTGCATCATCCTAGAAAACTTGGAGGCCAGTGAGGACAAAAATAAAAAGTTATAAGACTTTTAAATATGTGGATTTTAGGGTTATCTTTGGCGCCCCCTAGAACCTAAACCGTGGGGTGCAGCGTCATGATTTTGATAACTTTTAATGGCCACGGGGTGTAGATTGGCCTGAGCAAATGTGGTGCCGGTGGAACGAAAGCCTTCGGAGGAGTTAGCGAAATTCCAATGTGTGCGGATCGGCAAAAAATGCGAAATAACCCTTTAACCGTAATTTTGACAGATACGGCCGCACTGACTTTTTTGTAGATCTTATTGAGATACATATGTGTGTCAATTTTTGTGTCAATATGACAAAGCGTACAGGCGTGACAGTCAATAGTGTGAATTTTCACCTTAGGGGGCGCTATGGAGCCATTTTGCATTTTATTGTTTGGGCGACTTCAGAATATCAAATTTTTCACCAGGCCCGGTCGTCCTGCCAAATTTCATGAGTTTTCGCCAGTGGGAAGTGGGCCATTTTCCAGTTCAAAGGGGAGGAAAAAGAAAAAAGAAAGAAAGAAACAAAGACTAGGACCCCGTTGGGGCACTGGCGGGCCCGAGCTGTGTCGCGTCCCCCCCCCAACGCGCTGCCTCCCCGTCCCATTTGTGTCCTCTGGCCATCGTCCTCTCTGGTAACGCCCATCACTGCAAAGACCCTTTTCCTTCATCGGCGTTTGCTGTTCTTCCTGCCAGTGCGTGTTGCTTTCACTTACACTTGCCACAGCCAGCCTCGTGAGTGCCTAGCCTATTGGATATCACTGTCACCTACTCAGGACAGTCATTACCTTTCTATTAATACTTTGTTTTTTAATTTCACATTAATTTCCATATTGTATAAACAACTGGAAAAAACTTGAGCCCCTGCCCCTGTATAATCATGTGCACGTCTCTGTTCTAGCTCTAAGGTGAATCTTCACTGCTCATGTTCTCCTCAGAAGCAGTCACCTCACTCCCCTCAGGTTACTGTACACATGCACCAACTGCCTGCTTCAGGTTTGGATGGAGCTTCATGGTTGTCTTTTGGAGAAATGACCAGTCAAGTTGTGTTTGAAATTTGATTTTTTTCAGGGGCAAAAGGAGCCTCTGCATTCTTGTCAAATATGTAAATAGCATGTTTTTGCAGGTGCTAAAAACCAGACTCTGAGTGTGTGTGTGTGCGTGTGTGTGTGTGTCTGTGTGTGTGTGTGTGTGCGTTCAAGTCACATGACATATTTAACCGGATGTAGCTGCAAGACGGAGCCTCGTTGACTCCGTTTCAACTTATCTCAAAAGTGAGGACCTCAACCTATATACCAGTTTTTAAATTGTGTTGATAGGCCAAATAAAACCAGAGTTATGATAAATTATGTCCGCGATACTTGTTTTCTGCTTATTTTGATCACGTTCGGCGCTCGATCGCGCTGTATGAGACAGGAAAACATAGCATGCAGACATTAGCGACAGGTCTTACAGGCGGAAAAGGCTTGCCAAAGGAAAAAAAAAACACACCACAACATCTCTCCTATTGGTGGAAAACCTCACCACAACAACCAATCCAAAATTATATGGTGACTGATTGACAAGGGGCGGGCGCTTACGTTCTTCCTGCAATATGAGAAGGGAGGGAGGGACTCTCAGCAGGGATGCAGTCTGGGACACGTAGTTGCAAACCTAGCGACTTTGTTGTTAGATTCAATGACTTTTCAGACCCCCTAACGACTTTTTTTTAGAAAGAAAGTGACTTTTATCGACTTCTTCTGGAGTTTAGAGACTCTGACATGAAGCAGGCTTTCCTTACTGAGGAGTTAGCAACGCTGCTAAGGGTGCAGAGCCACACATGCGCTCCGAGCTTTGCATGGGAGACTGAAGCTGACAGAGCTGCAGCAGTTAGCAGGTTTCACCCTCAGAGACCACCAGGGGTTCATGTTGAGGCATTTTCAGTTTTTTTTTTTTTTTTTTGCCATCGACACTGTCAGCACAATCTGCAGTTACACTAACAAAAATGCTGCAAAAAACAAAGAATTATGGAAAAATTACACATGGACTAACATAGAGGAGGATCTACACAAGTTTTTTACATCATGTTTTACATCATGCATCATTTACATCATGTTTTTTTGTAGTGGCATAAATAAAAAGTGACATTTGTGAGACTATACAGTGTTTTGTAAATAATTTTACAAAGAACACCTGGGCCATTGCCTGCATTTTGATGTAAATAGAGGTAAATTACTATGTTCTTTGTTAAAAATTTGCATATGTTTTGAAGTTTACAATTTTTATTTGAAGTTTAAGTTTTAAAAACAGTTCATCACACATATTTGTGGTTTTCACAGTAAAAACGTTACTTTTTTCCACTCGGATTTTATGTTTTGTGTGTGAATTTGGGTCCATTGTGTAAATTCAGTATGTCAACATGATAAAATAACTGTAAATTCGCACAGGTGAGGTTGTGCTGAAAAAAATGATACCAGGCAAGGCACGTGATTGTCAAATTTTGTGTCAATATGACAAAGCGTATAGGCGTGACACTCAACAATGTGTATTTTCACCTTAGGGGACAAGAAAAAAAGGACTTTTTTCTCCTGCCATGGGGGGGCGCTCTTTTGGGGGGTAAAAATTCCTTAACAAATGTGTTGATGGCTGGACATTGCATCATCCTAGAAAACTTGGAGGCCAGTGAGGACAAAAATAAAAAGTTAAAAGACTTTGAAATATGTGGATTTTAGGGTTATTTTTGGCGCCCCCTAGAACCTAAATCGTGGGGTGCAGCGTCATGATTTGAATAACTTTTAATGGCCATGGGGTGTAGATTGGCCTGAGCAAATGTGGTGCCGGTGGAACGAAAGCCTTCGGAGGAGTTAGCGAAATTCCAATGTGTGCGTATCGGCAAAAAATGCGGAATAACCCTTTAACCGTACATTTGACAGATACGCGCTCATAGACTTTTTTGTAGATCTTATTGAGATACATGTGTGTGTCAATTTTTGTGTCATTTTGCCAAAGCGTAAAGGCGTGACACTCAACAATGTGTATTTTCACCTTAGGGGTCAAGAAAAAATGGACTTTTTTCTCCTGCCATGGGGGGGCGCTCTTTTGGGGAGTAAAAATTCCTTCACAGATGTGTTGATGGCTGGACATTGCATCATCCTAGAAAACTTGGAGGCCAGGGAGGACAAAAATAAAAAGTTATAAGACTTTTAAATATGTGGATTTTAGGGTTATTTTTGGCGCCCCCTAGAACCTAAACCGTGGGGTGCAGCGTCATGATTTGAATAACTTTTAATGGCCATGGGGTGTAGATTGGCCTGAGCAAATGTGGTGCCGGTGGAACGAAAGCCTTCGGAGGAGTTAGCGAAATTCCAATGTGTGCAGATCTGCAAAAAATGCAAAATAACCCATTAACCGTACATTTGACAGATACGCCCGCACTGACTTTTTTGTAGATCTTATTGAGATACATGTGTGTGTCAATTTTTGTGTCAATATGACAAAGCGTACAGCCGTCATGTGAATTTTCACATTAGGGGGCGCTATGGAGCCATTTTGCATTTTATTGTTTGGGCGACTTCGGAATATCAAATTTTTCACCAGGCCCGGTCGTCCTGCCAAATTTCATGAGTTTTCGCCAGTGGGAAGTGGGCCATTTTCCAGTTCAAAGGGGAGGAAAAAGAAACTAGGGCCCCGTTGGGGCACTGGCGGGCCCGAGCCGTGTCACGCCGCCCCCAGCGCGACCGCCTCCCCCACCCGATCGCGTCACACTCAAGGTCCAAAGATGGTGTGCGCACTTGTTTGTGGTCATTTACCATTATAATGAACGGGAGGCGCAGTTTCTACCAAAACGTTCGCTGCAGAAAAACTCCATGTCCTATTTGAAAAAAGTCTGGACCATGAGTGAGGGCACAAACACAGCTAAGATATATCCAAATGGCAAGTTGCTCCTCCTTTCGCTTTTGCCGAGAGAGCAGTGCGTTTGAGCCATTGAATGATGAACAGGAAAAACTTGACTTTATTCTCCTGCCATGGGGGGGGGGTGCTCTTTTAACGAGAAAAAACTCCTTCACAAATGTGTTGATGGCTGGACATTGCATCATCCTAGAAAACATGGAGGCCAGTGAGGACAAAAATAAAAAGTTATAAGACTTTTAAATATGTGGATTTTAGGGTTATCTTTGGCGCCCCCTAGAACCTAAACCGTGGGGTGCAGCGTCATGATTTGAATAACTTTTAATGGCCATGGGGTGTAGATTGGCCTGAGCAAATGTGGTGCCGGTGGAACGAAAGCCTTCGGAGGAATTAGCGAAATTCCAATGTGTGCGAATCTGCAAAAAATGCGAAATAACCCTTTAACCGTACATTTTACAGATACGTGGCCATTGACTTTTTCGAAGATCTTATGTAAATACACGTGTATGTAAAATTTTGTGTCAATACGACAAAACATACAGGCGTAGCACTCAACAATGTGTATTTTCAACTTAGTGGACAAGAAAAAATTGACTTTTTTCTCCTGCCATGGGGGGGCGCTCTTTTGCCGAGTAAAAATTCCTTCACAAATGTGTTGATGGCTGGACATTGCATCATCCTAGAAAACTTGGAGGCCAGTGGGGACAAAAATAAAAAGTTATAAGACTTTTAAATATGTGGATTTTATGGTTATCTTTGGCTCCCCCTAGAACCTAAACCGTGGGGTGCAGCGTCATGATTTGAATAACTTTTAATGGCCATGGGGTGTAGATTGGCCTGAGCAAATGTGGTGCCGGTGGAACGAAAGCCTTCGGAGGAGTTAGCGAAATTCCAATGTGTGCGGATCGGCAAAAAATGCGGAATAACCCTTTAACCGTACATTTGACAGATACGCGCGCGTTGACTTTTTCGTAGATCTTATTGAGATACATGTGTGTGTCAATTTTTGTGTCATTTTGCCAAAGCGTACAGGTGTTACACTCAACAATGTGTATTTTCACCTTAGGGGACAAGAAAAAATTGACTTTTTTCTCCTGCCATGGGGGGGCGCTCTTTTGGGGAGTAAAAATTCCTTCACAAATGTGTTGATGGCTGGACATTGCATCATCCTAGAAAACTTGGAGGCCAGTGAGGGCAAAAATAAAAAGTTATAAGACTTTTAAATATGTGGATCTTAGGGTTATCTTTGGCGCCCCCTAGAACCTAAACCGTGGGGTGCAGCGTCATGATTTGAATAACTTTTAATGGCCATGGGGTGTAGATTGGCCTGAGCAAATGTGGTGCCGGTGGAACGAAAGCCTTCGGAGGAGTTAGCGAAATTCCAATGTGTGTGGATCGGCAAAAAATGCGAAATAACCCTTTAACCGTACATTTGACAGATACGCCCGCACTGACTTTTTTGTAGATCTTATTGAGATACATGTGTGTGTCAATTTTTGTGTCATTTTGACAAAGCGTACCGGCGTGACAGTGAATAGTGTGAATTTTCACCTTAGGGGGCGCTATGGAGCCATTTTGCATTTTATTGTTTGGGCGACTTCAGAATATCGAATTTTTCACCAGGCCCGGTCGTCCTGCCAAATTTCATGAGTTTTCGCCAGTGGGAAGTGGGCCATTTTCCAGTTCAAAGGGGAGGAAAAATAATAATAATAATAATAATAACAAAAGAAGGAAACTACAGGAACAAGAGGGCTCTCGCAGCTGCTTAGCAGCTACGCTCGGGCCCTAAAAAGAAACAAAGAAAAACCACTTGGGGAATAATAGGGCTCTCGCAGCTGCTTAGCAGCTACGCTCGGGCCCTAACTAGGACCCCGTTGGGGCACTGGTGGGCCCGAGCCGTGTCGCCCCCCCCCCCCCCCCTCCCCAACGTGCTGCCTCCCCGTCCCTTTTGTGTCCTCTGGCCATCGCCCTCTCTGGTAACGCCCATCACTGCAAAGTCCCTTTTCCTTCATCGGCGTTTGCTGTTCTTCCTGCCAGTGCGTGTTGCTTTCACTTACACTTGCCACAGCCAGCCTCGTGAGTGCCTAGCCTATTGGATATCACTGTCACCTACACAGGACAGTCATTACCTTTCTATTAATACTTTGTGTTTTAATTTCACATTAATTTCCATATTGTATAAACGACTGGAAAAAACTTGAGCCCCTGCCCCTGTATAATCATGTGCATGTCTCTGTTCTAGCTCCAAGGTGAATCTTCACTGCTCATGTTCTCCTCAGAAGCACTCACCTCAGGTTACTGTACACATGCACCAACTGCCTGCTTCAGGTTTGGATGGAGCTTCATGGTTGTCTTTTGGAGAAATGACCAGTCAAGTTGTGTTTGAAATTTGATTTTTTTCAGGGGCAAAAGGAGCCTCTGCATTCTTGTCAAATATGTAAATAGCATGTTTTTGCAGGTGCTAAAAACCAGACTCTGAGTGTGTGTGTGTGCGTGTGTGTGTGTGTCTGTGTGTGTGTGTGTGTGTGTGTGTGTGTGTGTGTGCGTTCAAGTCACATGACATATTCAACCGGATGTAGCTGCAAGACGGAGCCTCGTTGACTCCGTTGAGGGGCGGGCGCTTACGTTCTTCCTGCAATATGAGAAGGGAGGGAGGGACTCTCAGCAGGGATGCAGTCTGGGACACGTAGTTGCAAACCTAGCGACTTTGTTGTTAGATTCAATGACTTTTCAGACCCCCTAACGACTTTTTTTTAGAAAGAAAGTGACTTTTATCGACTTCTTCTGGAGTTTAGAGACTCTGACATGAAGCAGGCTTTCCTTACTGAGGAGTTAGCAACGCTGCTAAGGGTGCAGAGCCACACATGCGCTCCGAGCTCTGCATGAGACTGAAGCTGACAGAGCTGCAGCAGTTAGCAGGTTTCACCCTCAGAGACCACCAGGGGTTCATGTTGAGGCATTTTCAGTTTTTTTTTTTTTTTGCCATAGACACTGTCAGCACAATCTGCAGTTACACTAACAAAAATGCTGCAAAAAACAAAGAATTATGGAAAAATTACACATGGACTAACATAGAGGAGGATCTACACAAGTTTTTTACATCATGTTTTACATCATGCATCATTTACATCATGTTTTTTTGTAGTGGCATAAATAAAAAGTGACATTTGTGAGACTATACAGTGTTTTGTAAATAATTTTACAAAGAACGCCTGGGCCATTGCCTGCATTTTGATGTAAATAGAGGTAAATTACTATGTTCTTTGTTAAAAATTTGCATATGTTTTGAAGTTTACAATTTTTATTTGAAGTTTAAGTTTTAAAAACAGTTCATCACACATATTTGTGGTTTAATTTCACATTAATTTCCATATTGTATAAATGACTGGAAAAAACTTGAGCCCCTGCCCCTGTATAATCATGTGCACGTCTCTGTTCTAGCTCCAAGGTGAATCTTCACTGCTCATGTTCTCCTCAGAAATAGTCACCTCACTCCCCTCAGGTTACTGTACACATGCACCAACTATCTGCTTCAGGTTTGAAATGGAGCTTCATGGTTGTCTTTTGGAGAAATGAACAGTCAAGTTGTGTTTGAAATTTGATTTTTTTCAGGGGCAAAAGGAAGCCTCTGCATTCTTGTCAAATATGTAAACAGCATGTTTTTGCAGGTGCTAAAAAACAGACTCTGAGTGTGTGTGTGTGTGTGTGTGTGTGTGTGTGTGTGTGTGTGTGTGTGTGTATGTTGGCGTGTGTGTATATGTGTGTGTATCCTGCAGTACTCTGTACTCCTGCAGTGGCCAAAAAGACTTTTAAGAATGTGGATTTTTGGGTCATCTTTGGCGCCCCCTAGAACTGCAGTACTCTGTACTCCTGCAGTGGCCAAAATGACTTTTAAGAATGTGGATTTTTGGGTCATCTTTGGCGCCCCCTAGAACGTAAACCGTGGGGTGCAGCGTCATGATTTTTACAACTTTGAATGGGCATGGGGTGTAGATTGCCCTGAGCAAATTTGGTATCGGTGGGACGAAAGCCTTAGGAGGAGATAGCCACATTCCAATGTGTGCGAATCGGCAAAAAATGCAAAATAGCCCTTTAACCGTACATTATACAGATACGCGCTCTTTGACTTTTTCGTAGATCTAATTGAGATACACATGATTGTCAATTTTTGTGTCAATATGACAAAGCGTTCAGGCGTGACACTCAACAATGTGTATTTTTATGTAAGGGGACAAGAAAAAATTGACTTTTTTCTCCTACCATGGGGGGGCGCTCTTTTGGGGAGTAAAAATTCCTTCACAAATGTGTTGATGGCTGGACATTGCATCATCCTAGAGAACTTGGAGGCCAGTGAGGACAAAAATAAAAAGTTATAAAACATTTAAGAATGTGGATTTTTGGGTTATTTTTGGCGCCCCCTAGAACCTAAACCATGGGGTGCAGCATCATGATTTGAATAACTTTTAATGGCCATGGGGTGTAGATTGGCCTGAGCAAATGTGGTGCCGGTGGAACGAAAGCCTTAGGAGGAGTTAGCGAAATTCCAATGTGTGCGTATCGGCAAAAAATGCGGAATAACCCTTTAACTGTACATTTGACAGATACGCGCGCATGGACTTTTTTGTAGATCTTATTGAGTTACATGTGTGTGTCAATTTTTGTGTCATTTTGACAAAGCGTATAGGCGTGACACTCAACAATGTGTATTTTCACCTTAGGGGACAAGAAAAAATGGACTTTTTTCTCCTGCCATGGGGGGGCGCTCTTTTGGGGAGTAAAAATTCCTTCACAAATGTGTTGATGGCTGGACATTGCATCATCCTAGAAAACTTGGAGGCCAGTGAGGACAAAAATAAAAAGTTATAAGACTTTTAAATATGTGGATTTTAGTGTTATCTTTGGCGCCCCCTAGAACCTAAACCTTGGGGTGCAGCGGCATGATTTTGATAACTTTTAATGGCCACGGGGTGTAGATTGGCCTGAGCAAATGTGGTGCCGGTGGAACGAAAGCCTTCGGAGGAGTTAGCGAAATTCCAATGTGTGCGGATCGGCAAAAAATGCGAAATAACCCTTTAACCGTAATTTTGACAGATACGGCCGCACTGACTTTTTTGTAGATCTTATTGAGATACATATGTGTGTCAATTTTTGTGTCAATATGACAAAGCGTACAGGCGTGACAGTCAATAGTGTGAATTTCCACCTTAGGGGGCGCTATGGAGCCATTTTGCATTTTATTGTTTGGGCGACTTCAGAATATCGAATTTTTCACCAGGCCCGGTCGTCCTGCCAAATTTCATGAGTTTTCGCCAGTGGGAAGTGGGCCATTTTCCAGTTCAAAGGGGAGGAAAAAGAAGAAAGAAAGAAAGAAAGAAAGAAACAAAGAAAAACCACTTGGGGAATAATAGGGCCTACGCCCGGCTGCTCTGCAGCTGGCTCGGGCCCTAAAAAACCACTTGGGGAATAATAGGGCCTACGCCCGGCTGCTCTGCAGCTGGCTCGGGCCCTAATAACAAAAGAAGGAAACTACAGGAACAAGAGGGCTCTCGCAGCTGCTTAGCAGCTACGCTCGGGCCCTAACTAGGGCCCCGGTGGGGCACTGTCGGGCCCGAGCCGCGTCGCGCCGCCCCCAGCGCGACCGCCTCCCCCTCCCGATCGCGTCACACTCAAGGTCCAAAGATGGTGTGCGCACTTGTCTGTGGTCATTTACCATTATAATGAATGGGAGGCGCAGTTTCTACCAAAACGCTCGCTGCAGACAAACTACATGTCCTATTTGAAAAAAGTCTGGACCATGAGTGAGGGCACAAACACAGCTAGGATATATCCAAATGGCAAGTTGCTCCTCCTTACGGTGTTGCTGGGAGAGCGATGCGATTGAGCCATTGACCGATGGGCAGGGTTAACTTGACTTTTTCTCCTGGGGGCGGGGGGGGGGGGGGCGATGTGGATTCTTTTAAGAATGTGGATATTTGGGTCATCTTTGGCGCCCCCTAGAACGTAAACCGTGGGGAGCAGCGTCATGATTTCTACAACTTTGAATGGCCATGGGATGTAGATCGGCTTGAGCAAATTTGGTGTTGGTGGGACGAAAGCCTTAGGAGGAGTTAGCCACATTCCAATGTGTGCGAATCGGCAAAAAATGCGAAATAGCCCTTTAACCGTACATTTTACAGATACGTGCCCATTGACTTTTTCGTAGATCTTATTGAGATACACGTGTGTGTCAAATTTTGTGTCATTTTGACAAAGCGTATAGGCGTGACAGTCAACAATGTGTTTTTTCACCTTAGGGGACAAGAAAAAATGGACTCTTTTCTCCTGCCATGGGGGGCGCTCTTTTGGGGAGTAAAAATTCCTTCACAAATGTGTTGATGGCTGGACATTGCATCATCCTAGAAACCTTGGAGGCCAGTGAGGACAAAAATAAAAAGTTATAAGACTTTTAAGAATGTGGATTTTTGGGTTATCTTTGGCGCCGCCTAGAACCTAAACCGTGGGGTGCAGCGTCATGATTTGTACAACTTTTAATGGCCATGGGGTGTAGATTGCCCTGAGCAAATTTGGTGCCGGTGGAACGAAAGCCTTTGGAGGAGTTAGCGAAATTCCAATGTGTGCGGATCGGCAAATAAAGCGAAATAGCCCTTTAACCGTACATTTGACAGATACGCCCGCACTGACTTTTTCGTAGATCTTATTGAGATACACATGTGTGTCAAATTTTGTGTCATTTTGACAAAGCGTACAGGCATCAGGTGAGTTTTCACCATAGGGGGCGCTATGGAGCCATTTTTCATTTTTTTGTTTGGACGACTTCAGAATATCAAATTTTTCACCAGGCCCGGTCGTCCTGCCAAATTTCCTGAGTTTTCGCCAGTGGGAAGTGGGCCATTTTCCAGTTTAAAGCGGAGGAAAAATAACGAACTAGGGCCCCGTTGGGGCACTGGCGGGCCCGAGCTGTGTCGCGTCCCCCCCCCAACGCGCTGCCTCCCCGTCCCATTTGTGTCCTCTGGCCATCGTCCTCTCTGGTAACGCCCATCACTGCAAAGACCCTTTTCCTTCATCGGCGTTTGCTGTTCTTCCTGCCAGTGCGTGTTGCTTTCACTTACACTTGCCACAGCCAGCCTCGTGAGTGCCTAGCCTATTGGATATCACTGTCACCTACACAGGACAGTCATTACCTTTCTATTAATACTTTGTTTTTTAATTTCACATTAATTTCCATATTGTATAAACGACTGGAAAAAACTTGAGCCCCTGCCCCTGTATAATCATGTGCACGTCCCTGTTCTCGCTCCAAGGTGAATCTTCACTGCTCATGTTCTCCTCAGAAGCACTCACCTCACTCCCCTCAGGTAACTGTACACATGCACCAACTGCCTGCTTCAGGTTTGGATGGAGCTTCATGGTTGTCTTTTGGAGAAATGACCAGTCAAGTTGTGTTTGAAATTTGATTTTTTTCAGGGGCAAAAGGAGCCTCTGCATTGTTGTCAAATATGTAAATAGCATGTTTTTGCAGGTGCTAAAAAACAGACTCTGAGTGTGTGTGTGTGTGTGTGTGTGTGTGTGTGTGTGTGTGTGTGTGTGTGTGTGTGTGTCTGTGTTTGTGTGTGTCTGTGTGTGTGTATCCTGCAGTACTCTGTACTCCTGCAGTGGCCAAAACGACTTTTAAGAATGTGGATATTTGGGTCATCTTTGGCGCCCCCTAGAACGTAAACCATGGGGTGCAGCGGCATGATTTTTACAACTTTGAATGGCCATGGGATGTAGATCGGCTTGAGCAAATTTGGTGTCGGTGGGAAGAAAGCCTTAGGAGGAGTTAGCCACATTCCAATGTGTGCGAATCTGCAAAAAATGCGAAATAGCCCTTTAACCGTACATTTTACAGATACGTGCCTATTGACTTTTTCGTAGATCTTATTGAGATACACGTGATTGTCAAATTTTGGGTCAATATGACAAAGCGTATAGGCGTGACACTCAACAATGTGTATTTTCACCTTAGGGGACAAGAAAAAATTGACTTTTTTCTCCTGCCATGTGGGGGCGCTCTTTTGGGGAGTAAAAATTCCTTCACAAATGTGTTGATGGCTGGACATTGCATCATCCTAGAGAACTTGGAGGCCAGTGAGGACAAAAATAAAAAGTTATAAGACTTTTAAGACTGTGGATTTTTGGGTTATCTTTGGCGCCCCCTAGAACGTAAACTGTGGGGTGCAGTGTCATGATTTGTACAACTTTTAATGGCCATGGGGTGTAGATTGGCCTGAGCAAATGTGGTGCCAGTGGAACGAATGCCTTCGGAGGAGTTAGCGAAATTCCAATGTGTGCAGATCGGCAAAAAATGCGAAATAACCCTCTAACTGTACATTTCACAGATGCGCCCGCGCTGACTTTTTCGTAGAACGTATTGAGATACACGTGTGTGTCAATTTTTGTGTCAATATGACAAAGCGTACAGGCGTGACAGTCAATAGTGTGAATTTTCGCCTTAGGGGGCGCTATGGAGCCATTTTGCATTTTATTGTTTGGGCGACTTCAGAATATCGAATTTTTCACCAGGCCCGGTCGTCCTGCCAAATTTCATGAGTTTTCGCCAGTGGGAAGTGGGCCATTTTCCAGTTTAAAGCGGAGGAAAAATAACTAGGGCCCCGGTGGGGCACTGTCGGGCCCGAGCCGCGTCGCGCCACCCCCAGCGCGACCGCCTCCCCCTCCCGATCGCGTCACACTCAAGGTCCAAAGATGGTGTGCGCACTTGTCTGTGGTCATTTCCCATTATAATGAATGGGAGGCGCAGTTTCTACCAAAACGCTCGCTGCAGACAAACTACATGTCCTATTTGAAAAAAGTCTGGACCATGAGTGAGGGCACAAACACAGCTAGTATATATCCAAATGGCAAGTTGCTCCTCCTTTCGGTTTTGCAGAGAGAGCGATGCGTTTGAGCCATTGAGCGATGGGCAGGAAAAACTTGACTTTTTCTCCTGCCATGGGGGGCGCTCTTTTGGGGAGAAAAATTCCTTCACAAATGTGTTGATGGCTGGACATTGCATCATCCTAGAAAACTTGGAGGCCAGTGAGGACAAAAATAAAAAGTTATAAGACTTTTAAAAATGTGGATATTTGGGTCCTCTTTGGCGCCCCCTAGAACGTAAACTGTGGGGTGCAGCGTCATGATTTGTACAACTTTGAATGGCCATGGGGTGTAGATTGACCTGAGCAAATTTGAAGCCGATGGGACAAAAGATTTAGGAGGAGTTAGCGAAATTCCAATGTGTGCGGATCGGCAAAAAATGCGAAATAACCCTTTAACCGTACATTTGACAGATACGCCCGCACTGACTTTTTTGTAGATCTTATTGAGATACATGTGTGTGTCAAATTTTGTGTCATTTTGACAAAGCGTATAGGCGTGACAGTCAACAATGTGTTTTTTCACCTTAGGGGACAAGAAAAAATGGACTTTTTTCTCCTGCCATGGGGGGGCGCTCTTTTTGGGAGTAAAAATTCCTTTACAAATGTGTTGATGGCTGGACATTGCATCATCCTAGAAAACTTGGAGGCCAGTGAGGACAAAACTAAAAAGTTATAAGACTATTAAGAATGTGGATTTTTGGGTTATCTTTGGCGCCCCCTAGAACCTAAACCGTGGAGGGCAGCGTCATGATTTGTACAACTTTTAATGGCCATGGGGTGTAGATTGGCCTGAGCAAATTTGGTGCCGGTAGAAAGATAGCCTTCGGAGGAGTTAGCGAAATTCCTATGTGTGCGAATCGGCAAAAAATGCAAAATAGCCCTTTAACCGTACATTTGACAGATATGTGCCTTTTGACTTTTTCGTAGATCTTATTGAGATACACGTTATTGTCAAATTTTGGGTCAATATGACAAAGCGTATAGGCGTGACACTCAACAATGTGTATTTTCACCTTAGGGGACAAGAAAAAATTGACTTTTTTCTCCTGCCATGTGGGGGCGCTCTTTTGGGGAGTAAAAATTCCTTCACAAATGTGTTGATGGCTGGACATTGCATCATCCTAGAGAACTTGGAGGCCAGTGAGGACAAAAATAAAAAGTTATAAGACTTTTAAGACTGTGGATTTTTGGGTTATCTTTGGCGCCCCCTAGAACGTAAACTGTGGGGTGCAGTGTCATGATTTGTACAACTTTTAATGGCCATGGGGTGTAGATTGGCCTGAGCAAATGTGGTGCCAGTGGAACGAATGCCTTCGGAGGAGTTAGCGAAATTCCAATGTGTGCAGATCGGCAAAAAATGCGAAATAACCCTCTAACTGTACATTTGACAGATGCGCCCGCGCTGACTTTTTCGTAGAACGTATTGAGATACACGTGTGTGTCAATTTTTGTGTCAATATGACAAAGCGTACAGGCGTGACAGTCAATAGTGTGAATTTTCGCCTTAGGGGGCGCTATGGAGCCATTTTGCATTTTATTGTTTGGGCGACTTCAGAATATCGAATTTTTCACCAGGCCCGGTCGTCCTGCCAAATTTCATGAGTTTTCGCCAGTGGGAAGTGGGCCATTTTCCAGTTTAAAGCGGAGGAAAAATAAAGAAAGGCC